TAGCCTGCCCCTTTGCAGCTCATCGAGTTGCTCTTTTTGCCAACTGCGTAACCGCAAAGTGCCCTTGAATTGCTTAGGTGCTATACGAAATGAGCAAAGGGGTGACCTTTTGGGGCGATAATCTAAAATGTTTCCTTTCGATCTGCTTTTAGAAACACGAGGAAACAAGCTCACAACAAGGGTTACTGAGAGGTAGTGGCAATAGAAAATTGCCCATGGGCCTTGAGGTTTAGGGCGTTCTGAAGGTCTCCAGTTTGTGAAAGCGATTAGTGACATAACAAAATTATACATCGTTTTAAACGATTGCAAGAAGGTCACTACAAAAATATTCTGAAATGAATTTTTAGATAATCTAAAGAGCATGGTCACCAAAAGTTTTCTATTCTAGCGCAAGGCCTCCGAAGCCTTTCGGCGGCACTACACACAACTAAGCCAGAAAATGATATCCATATCATTGTACCCAGGCTTTAAGTAACAGCATTTTCAAAAATAATGGATTGATATGATTCCTTCTGCTCTCAAGGTCTTTGTAAAACAGATTGAACGAAATATGGAACTCGGTTCCAAACGAAATACGTAAGTTTTCTCCAACATTACAAAAAATAAAGAAAAAATCTCAGAATTTTTATCGTTCAATACTTGTGATCTTTTCAAGGAATGAGTATGCAACATCAGTTATCATTGATATAGATTATATCTATCGCTGGTAATTTAAATTAGTTGGCTTTATTTAACTTGAATACAGCTGCAGATTGTACCAACTTTGAATAAAGAAAGAAGAATATTACGTTCAGAGGAGTTATATCCAAAAGTTATTGTAGTCCACAGTTTGTAATTCTGACTACTTTGGTATATCGAACGCACCACACCTAAATCCCCAGCAGATAACACAGCAAGAAACAACACAGGTTCTGAGGTGATGTGTTAAACGTGGTTCGCTAAAGAAAAAATGTTAGCAATTAACATACATGAAGATTATAAGTTGAGAAAACGACAAGAAGCTTAATATTACAATATAATGAAAAAAAAGGAATAATTATAAAAGGTTAATTAATGTTAGCAGAAGATAGAACTACGCTAGTAGAAACCCAACTAGATGACAAATGTTAAGTATGAGCTACTTATAAATAAAGTGAAAGATAACTACATAATAATACATACAACTTACAATCTATTAGTCCTCGTAGCCATAAAAATTTTGCACGATGGCCAAACACAGCATGTAGAAACTACCAGGCCAAAAATTGCATGTAAACGATAGGAAAACTGCCCCCAACACAGCGCAATGCAAGGCGAGTAAATAACCACCCAAAACGTGGGGTGCAAATCCTTTATAGCTACCGGAAGTAAACGAGGAAAGCAAGAACACGCAAAAATGGAAATACCAAATATGGGCTAATGAAACGTAAACTAAGAGGCGTAAAGAAAACAATGCAATGTAAAAACGAGGCTAGATGAAAATAACTTAAACTACAACGAGCAAGGGCTATTCGCACTAACAGTTATATCAAGCCATGTAAATGGTCATCAAAACAAAATTTTGTTTAATGTGAAGTAGGATTGGGTACAGTCTCCCTTAATGGTTAATGTTGGGGTGAAAGGAATTTCGAAGATGAAGTTTGACTTTAGGCTTATTTATATGTATTTGTATGGGTGTTGCCTTCATTTCCGAGAGTCTTTAGGGCGTAGTAACGCAAAATTTCCCTAGGGGTTATGGCCCCAGAACACCGACCATCTCTCCCTTAGCAGGGCCTTCACCTACAACCAGGCTTCGTCTTTGGCTAAACGACGATTCCCGATCTGTTTCATCAGCAAGATGCCCTTTCTGCCGGTCCTGCCCCCGTCACTTCATGAAGCTTCCGGCGCCTCTGCCTTTCCCCTTTCCTTCTGGCTCATCGATTGCAAGAAAGAGTACTTTATGAATCGCTGCAGAAAATTGATTCAGAGGCTCTGAATCAAATTCCAAATGTACCTTAATTCAAAGCTAAATCATTAAAAGGGACAGGGATAAGTGGCATGAAAAGATCAATTTGACTGAAGAATTCTCATTCTTAACTTTTATATCGTTACTGAAAAACTTGCTTCAAATTCCAGCTTCTTGTATATATTTGCAAAATAAACATATTCCCCGTTAAGGATTTATGCATTATCAAAGTAATATATTTCGCGTGTTTTATAAAATAATAATAATTTTCCCGTGTTCTTTCTTTCTTTTACTGTCGTCTACACCTGCCCATTCTAACACTTAAAGTCCCCGAAATAAATGAAATAACATTTCATAAAGCATTTTCTATTGAACATCTTGCTCGGATCTTCGACAAGTGCTGTATTGATTACCGGTTCTGTTGACTCATGGCCGTCAAAACAAACGTTAAGTTTCAAAGCTGAAATTATTGGGAGTAGCAGCTGCTTGCAATTAAGTTTATAATACCTGCATGGCTTCTTTATGTTGCAAATGTGCAAAGCCAGAAATACCTGGCGAAGTTCAGTTTATTTCTAGTCAGGGCTTTAGCTATAGCGACAAAGGGGCTTCGCAAACATCCTTTGCGCGTAAAGAGTTTCTACCATCTAGGGATGCTCAATCGGCAAATTTTCGGACCTGTCGGAAAATAAACGATGAATCGCCCACTTTGTCGGCAGATAGGATCTGGACACCCCTTTGAGTACAACAGCTAGAGACAGTCGTGTGTCCAGTATGCTTTTTGATTATGCTTATGGATACAGCTGTTTTCATAATATGACCTTCATAGAAAGAAATCTTGCACAGCATTTGCCAAAACAAAATTTACTTCTTCCTGCAAAATATTCTGCTTTAAATCAAGCGAGTTTATTCACTAGCCCTATCTTTCAATCATTTTACTATGAAGGAAATTGAGTCCATGATTTCCAAGAAATTCTCCAGTGCAAATTGGTCAACATCAGGGCATGCCTCTCCCCCCTCCCCCTCCCACTTTTCTGCAAAAGAAAAGGAAAATTTTAGGCAAAAGTGGAAATAAATGTAGTATATGATTCTGTAAGACATGACTATGCGACACCTTCAGCCAAAATCAATTTTACATACAGTTTCTGGCCATCCCTAAGACACCAGAATTCCAAAAATCTTCTTGCCGCCAGCCATGGTGGCGGCCTTTCTTAAACCCTTTCAAGACTTTGATATTTTGGCCCTTCCACTTTCAAATACGTTTCGCCAGCCCTGAAGATAACAATGGAACTCTTTTGGATCGTCATAGGACGCAAAGCTAATGTTTTTAATCTGTTGTCAGCGATTTCTTGAATATATTGTTTTGCAGACTGGGAATTTTTTACAATTAACTTAGACAGGTATCCTATCTGTGAATACTCAGTAGCGGATTTTATGACGACAAAAGGGACAGCTGCCTCGACGTTTCTTTGCAATTAAATTCTTCCTACGGAACTGAAACTGCTGCTAAAGATAATGAAAGTCTTACTCTGTGCTTATCATCCTGATGAATTTGAACAATCCAGAAAGCTTGTTATTTAACAGGGCTGACAGATTCCTTTCTGGATCTGATTCGGAGAATGAGGAATAGTGCAAATAAAAGGGTACCAGTGGCGGAGCCACGGGGGGGGTGAATGGGGGGACTAGTCCCCCCACTTTTTCAGAAAGTTGGTCCTTGAGATTCTTGCAAAGGGGGGGGGGGTATGTACGTTATCTAGATCGTCACATGTAAATGACATTTCTTGGGAGACAATAGGTGTTTCCTCCGGAAGAAAAAGTTTCAAACAGGGGAAAAGGGCATGGTCCAAAAGGGCGTTGCCCCTGACACACTTCTTGCCCCCCCCCCACTTATCCCAGGCTGGAGCCGCCACTGTAGGGCACATGACGCAATAAGCATTAAATGTAGAGAACTATGCCCTCCTAGGCCCCCTTCATCAGTTGGCCCTGTTCAAAGATGATAGTTTATCATGTAGATTGAATTGTTGTGTACATGAATTCAGCCGAAAATAGTCATGTGGATTGCTCTTTCAAGATCTCTGATACAAGGAAATGGAGGAATCATGAGATATCTTTTTATTTTTTAAGCTTTTTAGGCCAAATCAAATATTTTTTAAGTGTTTTTTAAGAATGATAGATATTTGTTCACTTAATTTCAAGGACGACAAAAATAAATTTTCTGTGTGCACCTAGCGCTTTTGACTTTCTTCAATTCGATGAAATTTTCATCATTTGTTAAAAATCATCAAGGCCTTTTTATTAATGTAATATAAAGAAAGATTTGGCCAACAATTTCATCCCTCCAAGCTCGTATTGCGTCACTCAGCCCCAGATCCATAGGACTGTTACAAAACTAAAAGAGAACTCTTGGCATTGCGGGCCTCATTCATAACTTCATATCATCAAAACGATTGTCTAGCTGAAGAAAGCTCAGTGTTAGAAAATGTCATCTCTTGATATAAGTCAAAGACAGTACTACATTTAATGATAAAACTTCAGCATAGTCCTAAATTGGCGTTAATTATCAAAGGCTTTTCGAATGTTTATATTGCAGCTGTCAATTTGTTTGATTAGACATACGTGTAGATCTTTCGGCTCCCTCGCTCTCTATTGAAAGATTGTTTGATGAGCCTTCTGTAAACAGAAACTTTTAAAGAAAGCTTTACATCGTGGGCCATCATGGTTTTTAGGGATCGGATTGTTTTCATGCCTAAACTCCAGGCTGCTTTGCCAGAAATGAAGAAAGTCTTAGAAATTTTACTTGGTTACTTTGATATTAAGAAGAGGACGGTTCTAAATTACATCTCCGAACCTTTTAAACAATCGTTAGAGAACTGTAATACCAAATTTAACACGAAATAGTTTCGACAGACCAGCAAGCAATAATAACATAATGTTAAATATTATAGATAATAATTGAAATATAACTTCTAAAATTTGATAGTTATAAGTTGTTATTGCTTTTTCTTCAGTCAATTCTTTTTCTTTCGGATGTGGCTTCACTTTATACAGAGGCCTCAATCACCCATAGCAACAGGCAGAGTCCGTATTTTAGCCCGTCAGTTAATTTGTTGCTGTGTAGAAATGAACATCCGCTTGTTACAAACAAATCGAGAAATCTGAATTTGTGAATCACCGAAACACACGAATATTAAGAAAAGTTATATTCAAGTCAATCAGAGATATGGAAATCTTCAACGCAGTTGTCCAGTGGTTTTCATTGCATAGAAATATTCATGAAAATTAGCTTTTGCAACCAGTTGCTAACCTAGGCCCACTGTTATGTTTGCGTAAGAAACGCTTGTGGACGTGAGGTCAATGATCAACAAGGGAGTCTAACAGGAAAAAAGAAATTAAATAAAATTACAAAATGGTTATCAGCAATGATGGATGGCCTGAATCGTTCGGGTTTTCTATTGCTGGTGATGCCCCAGTCGTTGTGGTGTCTATATTGCCGAATTCTGTTGCTGAAAGCGCGGGGCTTCATGTTGGTGACCAAATTTTAGAGATAAATGAAAAGAATGTCCAAGGGCTAAGCAAAGAGCAAGTGACACTAGTTGCAAGACGGTCAAATAGAGTTCCACCTTCCCTAGCTGTTATTTCAAGGATCCGTACTTTTCGCTTGCAAAGAAGAAGACAAGGTTATGGTTTGACTTTACGAGGGTCCAGACCCGTTCACGTGGAGAGTGTAGCCAAAAATTCTCCAGCATATGAGGCGGGAATTTGCCCTGGCGATATGGTTATTCAAGTGAATGGACGTTCTGTGAAAAGACTTGATAGACAAAATGTTATGAAGTTGATAGAATTGAGCAGTAATAATGTCACTCTAAAGTTGATCGCTGGCAGCTCTGCAATCAAGCGGTTTGAGAACAAGTACTCGTCAAAAACTTCTTCAAGGCAGAAAAAAGCCCGTGAATTTTTCAAACAGGTATATAATCGGGGTTTATTTCAAGTTTATTAAACAAAGTGATGTCTAAGAAAATAAATCTATCAGTATCGAAACAGTAACTATCACACAAAAACTTAAATTTTGAGCTTTTTCTAAACCGTTCTAACTTTGCGTTGAGTTTTTCGACCCTTTGTTAAAAAATAACTACGTACGGGCGTGAAATCAAAGTTCCTTTCTAGTTTAGACCAAGGAAATTGTTTTTGTGGTCACCCTGACTGAATTACAATTAGGGCTGCTAGGGAACATGAGTTTTCAATTTTCATGTTTCTACAAAGACGTTCAACACAATTAGTTTGGTCAAGTATAAGCTAAAACAAACATTGGTCAATATTTTGACTCTTTTGTATTTCGAGGATCCATGCTGGTATTTTGTGTTATTTGATAACTTGAATGATCTATGAAGCAGGTACTACATTATCTTGTGTGTTAAATGTGTGAATATTTTGAGGTTTAGCGAAATTCTCATTGCTTATCAAAAATTTGAAAAATTCTCAGCTATACTACGGAGTCTAGGTCACACAGAGACTTGTTGTGATAATATGTATAATTTACTCTCGATGTTCCACTCAAAAGGTTAACTATTAACTAGTGTTCAAGGGCAGTTGCCTAAATTTGAAACCAGGGGCAGCAGATCTGTGTACAAAAGAACAAACTTCAGAAGATAATATTTGCATGCAACTCATCCTTCTTCAAGGAAGACACTTTTGTGTTACAAGTAAATATCTGACACCCTCCTTTACAGCATAGATTTTGATCAGAACAAGAGAGAAAAACTTGCAGATTTTGCAAGAAATGGGAATAAGTGATGCATTTCTTATATATGAAAAATGTAGGTGCTACACCCTTGTGTTGAAGAATGAACATTCTTCAGAAGATAATCTAAATTTGAAAGCCTCTCACATTGGTAGAGGTTTAATGGTGATGATACAGGGTAAATACTGCTTATGAGTGATGATCTAGAGACACTGAGACTTTAACCCTCCCCTCCCCAATATATTATAATTATATACCCCAATGTTAGGTAATCTGTCTCATCTTGCATTACATCAGTGGCTTTTCTTTATGATGATGCCTTTTCTCCTCTTCCATCCAACCATCCAAGGATATTGATTGTGCTAAGAGGAGGTGTCACTGACCTTTAATCTTCCTCTCTCATCAAATAACAATTAATCCCCAATTATCAATTAACTTCTTTAAACCACCTTAAAAGCTTAAGTTGGCACAAACAGTGGTCACACCATAGTAACATTGGTACTATGTGTATTGGTATTATTGGTATTGGTACTTTTTATTTTTTGTCAACTTTCACCAATCACAAAATAATGTTTAATTTTCTTCCCTTTGGATTAGGTATCATACCATGTTTAACTTTAACAAGATTTTACTGAGTTATTACTAAAGATTATTCAATCATAAGTTTGTTTGAAATTACTTTATTTAATTATCATTTTATTGACTATTTTATTTGTGTACGTCGCTTTAATAAAGCTACTGAGTGCATAAGTCTGTGCTGATTTCTAGAAAGATGTCACTCCTAGAACAGCAAACTACCTGTTCAACGATAATTTTTTCCAAGAAAGAAACTTTCCGTCATTATTCAAGTTTTCCCAGTTTTTGTTGTTGGATTTATTCATTGTTGTTATTGTATCTATTTACCAATATCATTTTACTAAATTCTAATTATGATCTTTATTTTCAAGATGAGCTATTATCTAACTGGTGAAGAACATAAAAAGACCTTGCTTATTGCACTAATGAAAAGATATGCAAAGGATAGAGACATTGAGAGGTTTTCCCGTCTTGTTTCATGTTTGCTCACCAATGAAGTTCAGCGTAGACTTCTAAAACCAATAAGGTATGACATTCATCTTATTATGTGTAAATGTTGTCTTTTGTTTTGTTGTTTGGTATTGTATACACTAAAGGATGTTTTTTAACATTATTCCTATATGTTTCTTCAAAGGTATTTCATTCCGTCTAAGCACAAACCATTCTTTGATGCAATAGTCAGTCAAAACTACTCAAGCACTGGACCATTTGAGGATACAACACTTCGAAGTGCGGAAAAACATTCCCCTAGGGACTTTAATCACCAACATTCGCCAAGAAATGCAGATGATCCCAGAATCCGAAGCAAGTGAGTAAATTACATCAAAAATAGCTTCTTCAGAGAGAAGAAAGTTTATTCTTAAGTGATTTTATAGAATGTGCATTTTCATTTAAAACACTCTAGATCATAACAAAAGACGCATATCTAAAGGTCAATGATAGCCAATAAAAACTATTTTTTGTGTTGTATTAAGATCCAATCTTTTTAGTGCTATATCTATTACTGGTTTCAGTTTTATTAAATCCTGTTTCAGAACTTGGTCAAGGGCAACAAGTACACCTTTTCAGAATACAGATTCAAGAACTTCAAGGTATCAAAAAATCATACTGGTTGTGTATTGTGAAATTTTTAAACCACATCTGTTTATGTATAACAATTTACTCAAGGTGAAATGCTTTAGGTTATTTCATTCACTAACAAATTTTTATCATTTGATTGTAATGCAAGGGCTAGATTATGTTATTGTCAAAACAAAAAAACCTTGTTAAAAAAATTTGTATCACTGCCTGTTCTGTTAGCTTTTAACCACATAGAGACAACTGAAAGACTGTGTAAAGTCATTTTTCTTTTGAAGTTTTTCAAGACAAGCTGCAAAGACAAACAGAAAAGAACCACCTTGCAGGTTAGTTGCAATATTCAATAATTATGTTGAATTTTTTGCAGTTTCAATACAAGCAAATAATCTGCTTCATAAATTTTAGATGTTGTGTCTCTATAACTTTATTCAAATTGAGCATTATGTTTCAATTAAACAAATTTTCAGAAATAAGAAATGCTCAAATTTTAAAATTTTTTATTAGAAACTTATGATGTATAAGAAGAGAATCAAACCTGATTACCTCTCAATTTAGGCAATTGTTTTTGTTGTCAAAATATCAATTTCAAATATTGCTTAAAGACCTCACGATGGTAACGAAAGCAGTCATTTGGCTAATCATTCTTTCTAACTTTAAGAGTAAATTTGGCCTATCATAGGTTAGTTGCCAGAAATGTTTTGAACACTTATATTAATCCTTATTGTTTTATTTGATCATTTCCATCTCCCCTGAGAAAAAGTTTTTGCATTCTCTAATGCAAAACATTGCTCCATGGTGATCGAAATTTGAGAACTCCGAAGTATGTAATCAATGCTTTTGTGGGAAGAAGATTACGGGTTCCGTTGTGTGTGGAAAAAGTATGTGTAAAAAAGGAGACAGTGCTATTTTACATGTTCTAAATGAGCTGGAAGTAAATGCTTTCAATGTTTTTTTTTGTTTTTGCCCCAAAGCAGTACTTTTTGTCAAGGCAATTTATGGTATTGCCAAATGGTATTAGATTTATGAAAACCTTTTAGGATTGTGCATCTTCAGCGAGAAAGTGGGAATGCTCCTTTTGGTTTCACTATCAGTGGTTACAACCCTGTGTTTCTTCGTTCCGTTGATGAAGGTAAATTTTGCATACATATTTTAAAATGGCTTGAATTTCCGTGTAAAAATTCTGTGTAAAGATTTTATATTATGTCCTGTTTTATTTTTTTTGTTTTTGGCAAGTAACTTGCCTATGTTTTTAGCAGTTGTTGGAAATGATTGACCATAGTAAAGGCAGCTATGTCAGTATAAACTTCCAGCTGTGGTACCCAAGACGTATGCAGGCTGAAAGTGATAGAAATAAATTATTTTAATCATGACATGGTGGTAATGTTTGAAATATGGTACGGCCATAGATCAAATTTTACTTAGTAGATGGCTATATTTTGCAAATCACGGAGCTTTTAGTGCTATATCACATTTCTACCTTTAATAAGCAATCATTATCATCATATCGATGACAAGGAGTACAATAAAAGTCGAAGTAGTGTATTATAAAATAAGAATCGATGATAGTGTATTATAAAATAAGAATCGATGATAGTGTAGTATAAAAGAAGAATCGATGATAGTGTAGTTTACCAAGACTTTTGGCAGGGCTTGTACTTGTTTTCACAAGTAAGTCGAAATGATACTTGAACCACATATTGATTTTCGAATGAGATCAACCTTTCCTTAAAATTACAGAAAATGTGAATTTGTTACTTGGCTTTTAAACAAAATCAGAAAGACTTCTAGGAGTGTTGATTCAACGAACCTTGCCTTGTCTCTGCTATAAGTACTTTAAAAGTTAACATTGTTCTTCTAGGTGGATCGGCTGAAGCTGCTGGATTAAAGCCAGGGGATTGCATAATTGAAATAAATGGCATCAATGTGAGGTTAGTCGATTCTCCTTGCAAAAAAGGAAGTTTTTTCGAAATTAAAATTTCATCCCGATAAAAAAACCATTTAGTTTACGTCTCTCTGATTGTTTGACGTATGCATAGTTAGAAATCAGACCATGTGCTAGATTGAAAAACACGTACACCAATTATCCTGGTGCAGTTAAATTGATCACATCCCGCTCCTGATATACTTATGTTCTCAGATAGCTTCAAAAAGAGACTGTGGGGAGATTTGCTTAGGGGGCTTAGCACTCCCAATTGGTAAAATAAATGCATAGAGTCCTGTTGCTTTGGGTTTAAGTATGTTCAGCCCTCTCTTCGAAATTTTTTGTCCCCCATTTCAACTATACTCCTTAATCCCTTTATTCGAGAAACTTGTTTGTGTCCGGATCACCTTGATTCTTACGCTCGAGTTTACACAACTGCCGCGCTATGTGCGTTGATTTATCTTTTTGAGCACTAATGTTATGTTGAAAATACTATACAATCTACATATTTTAATTTAAATCTAAATAGAGGCTTTAGTCAGGGCTATGCAATAAGGTTTTAATGAATTCTATTGCTCTTCAAGACAAGCGTCTCACGACAGTGTTATCGAAATCCTGAAGCACGCCGGAAAATCACCTAGGTTAATTGTCCAATGGCGGCCGGTTCCTTACCAGCTAAGGAATGGTATCTCACCAATCCGACCGGATGCTGCTGCTTCTAATCAACAACAACAGAATGAAGATCATTCCGGTTCTGATTCGGCACTCGAGTCTGATATTTCACCTCGAAATGAATCAAACCAGCAGTCATCGTCGGGTGTTAACCCCGAACCGGACCAGAAGCATTTGCTCCGGCATTTGAAGGATCAGGTATGAACATAATCAGATACATTGATAGACGAACATGTCACCGGCTTGTATTGCTATTTGAATCATCAGCAAGATCAAGCTTTGCCTTCTAGTACGAGAAGTTACACAGACAATGAGCTGGCACAGGATTTAAGAGGATTTTTTAAAGTTATCAAAATTTTTAGGTATGGCGGATATTCGTGTTTAAGAAAAGGATATGGCATTCAGTAAAGGCTCAAAAAGTGAGCAACAAGCCCTTGAACCCAAACCTCATTATTATAGCTGCATCTTTCTTTCATTATGATTATCATCGTTATTCGTAGAACACTAGTGACCTACACAAGACTGAAAACAGTGCCTTTCTAGTCTGTGCAGCTTAACAACAACACCTGAAACATTGATGACATGCCCTCAAGCAGTGCCCATTTTTTGTCTGTTTTCTTGTACATTTGAAAATAATCGTAAACAAACGACTACACTAGCTTGCTGTTTATCCAAATACTTTTTGACCCATGCATTGAAACATACAAGCTAAGACTGTTATTGTACTTTGCCTGTGACGTTGATTATAGCAGCTATAGTTGGCCTGGACAAGAAGGCAAATATTGTAAGAAAATGTGTTAGAGGTGTACTACAAAGGGCAAAGTTTAGGAATAATTTAGAATTAGAGTTTAAACATGTCATAAGGTGGCAGTTCATGTCAGTAAGTTTTTCATCCCAGTTCTCCCATCCCCTTTTTAGTAAAGTCTTGACTGTACGCCCTCTTGGTGCTACTTTCCAAAGTAAAGCCTCATCTTCTAAGATCTCCTTGCCTTCATAGAGCCCTGAAAAACAACAAACCCCTAGATTTTTTAGCTGGTATACACTACCTTGGCAGATAAAGCAATACGTAAGTTATTACCTTGTTTCTGCTGATAGATGAATATGCTACTGACAAGAGGAGAGCAACTTGTGGTGAGACAGGCAATCTCATACTACCATAGTGACAGGTAAGAAATTATTTCATTATGTCTCGAAATGCCATATTGTTTCACTATTCAACTGGGTCTTTTTAAAGACACTATAAAGATGGTTGTTTCTAGAACCAACCCTTTAAGGCTCTTGCGCAACCGGCATGCTTTGCGACTATAGTTCAAAAACCGGCCTAATATCGTACAGCCTGAAAGTACAAAACACAGGCCATTTCTCAAGACAACTGAGGCTAAGCATGCCAGTTGCGCAAAAGCCTTTAATTTCTCTTCAGTGCTCTCTAACTGCAGTACTTCTATTTTCAATTGTTACAGACCATCACACTCTTTTTCAAGGAGGGTAGCACTGAGAATAGAACAAATTTGGTTAAGTTCTATGTCGGGGTAAATATGTAGGATAAATAATTCATAGTTGCAAGTTGGGGGGGGGGCGGTGTTTAGTGTATATTTGGTATTGCGGAGTGCAGTTAGTATTAATCATGAGTTCTGCTTAATGTTTTGTTTGTTTTTTCGCGATTCGTTTTTTTTCTCACTACCAGTATCCCCCGAGTAACCTGGAAAATCTTTTCTGAATAATTTTTCTAATTCTACTAAAGTTAGATCTTTCAGTGGGTTGCTTTGGTATTTGTTTTTGTCCCATAAAACGGTTTTGTTTACTGAATCATTTCTCAGTTTTCCGACATCACTTATTCATCAAGAGGTAAAAAGTATGAAATTCTTGCAACTGCATTTATTATATGAATATCACTGGTTTGTCATAAGCTTAGGCCACGGATTACATGTGACGGCCCAGTAAAGTTTTTCGGCTCATTTGTGGTTACATAAAGAGTCTTAATATTTCTTTTAATTAAAGTCTGGTTTATTAAATATTTCCTTTGCGGAGAAAGCCGAGTATGGCCTGTCAAACAGCGTCAGCACTTGAAAATCACCTGGAATAAATTTAAAAGATTGATGATTTTCTCCTAAATTGCCCAGTTTTTAATCTAGCTTAATATTATATTTCTGTCTAGCGGTATTAGTTTTAAGGGTGGAGGTTTCTTTTTTATTTGAGCCATAGAGAGGTTTGTGGCTCATATCAATTTAGATTTCAGATCTTGAGCGAGTAACTATGATCTAAATAGATACAGCGATAGAAAGATACCATTAATCCGTTGCTTGGCTGCTTGATAAGGAAATCTTCTTGGAAAACTCCAGAAGGTTTGTTCCAATTACCCCAGGCTTGATTGATTACATAAATATTTGATGACAGCAATTGAAGATTGATAATTGGAAGAAACTAGGTGCGTGGGAATGAAAACTTGTGTATTTTAAAGCATTGCTGCTTGTCAATAATGCCTAGCCTTACATTCCTGCCGAAGAAGTCGAGAAATGGGTTTTTCTAGATTCAAGTTGGTTCTTTGAATATGACCGAAAGTGCATGTCACGGCTTTATGCCAAAACCTTATAGCATTGGCAACTTACCATTTTGCTTACCATTTAACAACTGACTTTTTGTTCTCAGTGTAAAACGATATGTATCATGTTTTCTGCAAAAACATTCTATGCTCACATGTCACGTTGATTTTGACTACTGAATGATTTTGTTAGCAACAATAATGTCAATGTACTAATTGAAAGCTTCATAAAATTTCCCTCCTTAAATTAGAACTTCAAATATATTTCACTTAAAACAGATACTGCAAAACTTGGGTTGTATTTTTCTCTATTCGAAGACAACTCTTTTATTCAATTGTTTGGTAAAATGTTGGCAGCTCAAGATGTATAATTATACTAGATTGGGTGCGGTACAATATGATGCTATAATGACGATCAATATAAGTAAATTGTACCAGGAAAAATTTAGTTATTTATTTTAAAAAAATTTTCCTGGTACAATTTACTTCCATTGATCGTTATTATAGCATGATGTATAATGTTGATATACAACAACTCGTAGTCCTTCAAATTGGTATAAGAATGGAAATACAATTGATAATTGCTTATTTTTCAGAGATGTAAACAAACTGATCTATGCACTGGAGCCTGTTCTCGACGACCCGTTGAAATTGCAGATGCTACACTGTATTAGTCGACTGCTGCCCCCAGAAGCACAATTGGAGTTTGAGCGGCTGGCAGTAGAGATGGTGGCCAGGCAAATGGAAAGTACGTTACATAGGCAGCAAAATCTTTTCAATCTTCTTCTGGTTTTTTTTTTCTTCCACCTTGGCTATTTGTTTATTAATTTATGGATTGTATGGGAGGCTGCAGCCTCTATGTGGAGATTGGTTGTAAACCACAATCTTGTTACTCGGTAGATGAAAAGATAACTGTGGTTTGGGAGACTGAATAGTTATAAATTTTAATTATTTTCAGCTAAGGGGTGACAATTAGAAGGTGTTTCCAGAGAGAAATGATGAAAATGTTTTCGTAAATCAGCAAAATGAGAACAAGAACGAAATTTGTGAATTAAAAGATAATAAGTTTCAGAAAGGGTTGATTAATCAACAAGCATTTTTCACTTGTGTTCTGCTTTGTTAAGTTATTATACAATAAATTGCAATTATTTTTCATAGTGAGATTTTTCTTGGTTTTTGAATGAAAAATTTGCAAAATAGCCGGACGAAGGTGTTTATTTGGATCGATTATATATATATTGGCTCTGATGTCTCTAGCCAATTTTGAATAAGCTTTATGACTCGTAGCTCGTCAGTTATAGCACTCAGTTTATGTCACTATTTGAATGTGATGTTGCCATTTTCATATCGCAAGTATGTTGCCTGTGGTTAATTTTTTAAATCAATTTGTAGATGGCATCATCATTAGCGCATCGACTACAGCCCATGAAATATTTGATATATTGTTCCGTGTTCAAGGCAGTAAACTGGCTGAAACTGATAGGCCCCGAAACCTTATTGGGGGCCTAATAGGTGAGCTTCTCTTTTATCAGTTGCACTGTGATGCTTATAATAACATGATTTCGTAACTTATCAAAGGATGATTTCTCGGGCCTTTATTCTTGGAAAAATTCTCTTTTAAATAAAAAGCTTCATCTATGACTCATAAATATAAGTCTATTACTCCATATAACTTTTTTTCTAAATGTAGATTTTTGTATAGAAGGTAAATTAAAGGTGGGGACCCCAATGTTTATAGTCCCCAACCAAGTTCAATAGAAAGTTCCCCAAAAGTCCCCAGGCAAGTTCAAAAAGAACGGAAGAACGCATCCCTTAACTCCTATGATTTTCCTCCGCCATAGCAGTTATTGGACAGAAATTGCTGAAGAAGCGTTAATGTACTCTATTGGGCGTTCCATTGTTATCAGGATATCAAGCCATAGATTTCTAGTCTTTGCGCAACCATTTCACCAGATTCTACGACTTTCTCTGTCCATCTTGTAAGCCGGGCACCAAAAAACATTCTGCGGATTTAATGTGGTCATTCGTACGTAATTTTGTAAGAGATAAAACAAACTGGGGCCTTAACTTGGATTTTATCTCTCTGCGGTCAAATTCCTGGCCTCGACTGTTAACAATTTTTACCAATATTTGCTACTGAGATAAACTGCTATGTCTGCGTCTACAATGTCTTAGAGATGTCAGATAATGAATTTCTATTCCACGAAGAGACGTAATGCTAAAACTTATCACCGTTTTCGCAGAAGCAGTGCCTCTAGGAATGTTGATTCGTGGGACAGTCAAACAATTCAATTCAATTCAATTTCATTGACAAATATACCTAAATACATTTCAATACAGAATCAAATTTATTAACATAACATTACAACATAGAACTTAAACATAGAACATTACAAGACATTACGTATTTGAATATATTTGTCTAAGGAGGAGCTCTCTAATAGATGAACTAATCGAGAGAGGGCCCCCCCATCTAAAACTAAAAAAGTGAAATTTTTTCTTTAAATCAAAAGAGAAACCAGAAAGCCTCCGCAAAACATTGGAATAAACATAGACTTAGAGACTGAGGAGATCCTTAGGAATTACCTCAATATTGATGTAGAATATAACCATTTATGAGAAATTCTTTCAGTTTTGATTGAAAATATATTAAAAGACGCTGAAATTTCAATGTATGTTGGAATATCATTCCAGAGTTTAACACCAAGATATTTAATCGACCTGAGCCCATACAAAAATGTATTCCTTGAAGGTTGGAAAACATTACCACTAATTGCCTGACGCGTTCCATGGCTGTGAACTGTGCTACTAAGCTGAAAGTCAAACACTCTGTTTTAAGTAATAATAATGAGAATAATAACTTGAATCAGAGAGGTTATTTGTGAGAGAGATAAAGCTAAAGTTTCTCCTAGCATAGACCCTTCTTTAAGCAGGATTTATGATGGGTTGAGTTCATATACCGGGAAGTTTATTACGTGGGGTAGAGAGATTCGATAGATGGGGATTCTGCCTTAAGGGTTAAGTTTGAATGTTTTGCCCCCAGGAAGACAGGTAAAAATTCTATATCGCTGCTATTTTGAATCCCCTAAAGACATTCAGCTGTTCTTCTTGAATAATATATTGTTCTGGTATTATTTTGAATTGTTTAAGCTCTTTATATTAAGCTTTTTGCATTATATGGAAAGCAGGGGGTTTTTATTGTCCTTCATACTCACTCCATCGACTTCAGTCCACAAGACCATCGTAGCAAATGTTTTAAATAATACCAAAGAAGCAATGAACAAATAAAGCTGATAGAATGAAAAAAATCACAACTGAAACTAGAGTTTATTGATTAACAAAGAGAATTTAGAGCAGGTTTATGTACTTCAGCGGTACCCTAAACCATTGTATTTTATTCGTCTATTATTTTTCCAATCTGATTTATTTACATGTGACAATATTTCATCTTCCCTGTTAGACGTGAAGCCAGACCCATCGTCTACATCCAAACAAGTTTCCACTAGCAACTCAACCGGATCACTAGGTAACCACCATATTATAGCCTTTTTAATCCGTATTGAATGATCTTGTAACTACCAGGATACAAAATATTTGATATAAAAGTTTTATCTTGACCTAATGATCTGGACGATTACTAGTTAACTTGAATTGAAAAATACGATAATTAGTTTATAACTGTCGGTATTACAGTGATACATGAGGACGTTTAAACACAATAGAGCCTGTCATTAATTCTCTATCTTAGGAGTGAAAGTTTGTTTTATAAATTGTTCTCCAGAGCCGTCGCTACGGGGTGTGGGGTGTGATACCTCCCTTGGAAAAAAATTTCATTGTAAAAATGACAAGTATTTTACCATCTAGGGGTGATTCGTCGGCATACTTTCAGATTTGTCGGCAAATAAAGGATGGTTCAACAACTTTGTCGGCAACTGAGATCGGAGCATCCCCCCCAACCTTGAGCACCCCCATCACCCCTGTTGTTCTCGATATTAAAGCCTTGGAATGATAAGGTCACACAGAATCAAATAAGCAAAGGTTTTAGAAAAAAATAAGACTCAAGAGAATTTTACGAATCTGCCTTGAAATCAACCTGTGGAACCAAAAGGTGCGGGATTGTATAGGCTTGGGCCAAATCTTCAATTGCAAAGACTGAACTGACAACTCAGTCCTTCGATTAAAGTTATACTATTTTATGAAATTGATCAATTTTTTTTGCCACAGGATCAGACTTGGATCATTCGCCAGTAAAAGCCGATTCCTCGTATGAGCAGCTAGATATCACCCCAGTAAAGGGTATGGATTTCTTAAGTTTTTATCATAATTACCATGATGATATACAATATTTTTACCTGCAAACAAGACAGTCGTGCGGTGATTGCTTGCAAAAACTTAATTTTCACAAAAAATTTTAAACTGCAAAATTATATCTAATCACAGAAATATTTGGAGAAGGATTTTTTAAAAGACATCTTTTTTTTAAGCCACCGAGTAACTTTTTGTTTTTAGTTTTTTATATAATAAGGGCGTTGTCCACGTTATCTGCGCCCAGTATCGTCACTTTTTATTGACCATGTGGCTGTTGTCATTATCACAGATTCGACATTTGAGGCACTGATGTCTATAGATGACGCCCAGTTGTCTCCACGGACTAACAATAGCGGCCCATCGCGAATAATAGCAACCGCCATGGTCCACTCTCCTCCACAGTTAACCAAAGGCGCAGCTGACAACTCCGTCGCCGATTCAAACAACAACGAGGGCAGAGGATCTTCAACGGAGAAAACTGTGGAAGAGACGGTCATTGACGATGTGTTTGACGAACTGCCGCCAGATGATAGAACGAGGCTGACCGACAAGGATATCGAAGATTTGAAAAGTGAGCTCCGAAAAGCTCAACAGGAGGCTGAGAAAGCTAGGATGGAGGCTGAAGAAGAACGCAAAAAACAGAACCAGACACAGAAATCTGGTAAGCCAATACGCAGGAAGCAAAATCCATCGAAACATATTCAATACTGACATGGCTTTGCTTGTTCTTCTTTCTTTTATTATATTTATTTCAAATTGTTCCAGATATATAAATTTGACTTTCTAATTTAGCTTTGTTTATTTCTTTTTCTAGATTTTTCCCCATGTTTTTAGTCGTATCTTTGTACCTCAAGGACTGCTAAAAGGCTAACGACCTTCAGTGAAAGGGGCCTAGGATAATTTATTTAGGTACAAGCTCGTCTGCTGGTCTCCAAGAATGACATCTATCTTTTTGGTTTTTAATTTCTAGATTCTGTTTCATCACCAAACTCAAGTAGCAGTAAGCCAAAAAATATTGCCGATGAAATTAAAGAAAAGTCATTTGGTATGGAGCCTGAAAGAATGAGAACTGTCAGCACAGATGGTGCGTTTTGAATTTTAATTTTAATCCCCTCTATTTTGGCATTGCCCAGTTTTCATAGTTTCGTTATTACGCACAAGTTTTATAAGCAACAAAAGTGAAGTTTTTGTGCATTAAGCTATGTATTATGTACCATGTCAACGGACCAAGTCTCAATGAGGTGTGACGTCATATAGATCATACAATTGTTTACTTTGGACTATATAATCTAATTGAACACCATGGAATACTTCTTAATGTGCAAGATCAGTCAAATATGCTAGATATTTGGTAAGATATCGAAAATAAAAAATTTGAAGTTTGCTAACGGAAAACTGTTATTTTGGTTTGGTTCAGAAAGTTTTGAATAAAGATCTCAGCCAACTTATTTAACTGATTTTGCACTTTTAGAAGTATTTTGTTTTGTTCTTTTAGGTTAAGACCAAACCTCTGGTTTTCTCCATTGAATTCGCTCATCCTTTATATCTTTCAGATCATGTTATACTGCCAGGCCAGTTTATGCCTCCTCCTCCCCCACCACCCATGGCACCTGCTCCTCCGCCGCCCCCTCCACCTCCTCTTGGTGGTGCTGCTGCGAATGCAATGCAGCTCAAGAGAATCAACTGGGAAAAGTTATCTGGTCCTGCTATCGAGAATACGGTCTGGGGAAAGGTACGATTATTGAAAATGAAAACGAAAAACCGTGCGATAACTTACGATTAAGAGTATGAGTGAGATTAGGATAAGAACTCTGGTATTTCAATTGTTGTGGTTCGGTAAAGTATCTTCTGTATTGGTGTAATATTCTCCAATGTTGCTGGATCGAGTGCGACAACTGTATTGTGTCGCTCTTTTCTGCGCCAAATTGTGAAATTCTTCAGGATATGTACATGGGGTTCTTTCATTCTTTTGATTGCATTTATAAGTGCCAATGGACTTAGCTTTGAGATGATCAATGAATATCAGATCTGATCAACTAAATATTTCCTATTGCCAGTCGCCTATTTGGCGAAAAAGTGAAAATCTAAGAGCACTAGAAAGACTTTCTTTTCTGGCAAATGTCATGGGCCAAATATTGATTGGTGGTTCTAACTGCCCGAATTTGTTATTTTTTGTCATTTATCAAATGATAACTCTTTGATTCTAAGGTTTAATTTCAACCTTCCATTTATTTTAGCTCGGTAATGAAGACGAAATCGATGATATGATCGACTTCAAGGAATTAGAATCCCTCTTCAGCACCAAAAGGGTACCAAGGAAAGGTAATTGTCTATTTAGCCAGTTGTATTTATAAGAAAAAGAAATTTCATTTTCTTCGGTCCCATTGAATAACTTTATCCCCTCGTCAGCAACAGATTCTGTCTCGATTGGCCTAACCAAACGTGATGATCGCGTCTAATAATATATTGATTATATTCTCGTATCTACGTCAAAGCTGGAAATAGTTTCATGCAAAGCTCATTTAAACTGTTTTGGAAGGTTGTCCTGGTTTGTAATCAGGATTTATTCACATATTCGATGAACTTTTAAGGTGATACACAAGTTTACTTTTTTAATTTATTTTCAATAGAGGATCTTATTCACTGTCTATACATTTTGGTTTTGTCTGTAACCGCGTTTAAAGTTTCCAGCTGCTGCCAGTCTCAACAATTTTCAATTTCAACCCGAATATATCTTGCAGTACACGTGTGCAAGAATATATCTTCTGATATAAAGCCTTGAATTAGGTCAAATGCTGTCAAATTGGCAGTACAGGAAATAGTTGTAATGCACATGTGCTTCAAAATCACAGGGTGCTAAGGATCATAGATCAGCAAAGATCTGTCAAGCTTTGGCCTAGACGTTATCATCACATTGAGGCTACGTCGACCATAAACGTAAATAGCTTGATGTTACAATGACATTTTAGGTCCTCAGCTGATCGTAGATTAGTCTCAAACAGTTTCCGTTTGCCCTAAGCTAGAATTTATGCGAAAACAACCAAAGGTTAGAGTTTAGTTTCGTTTATTAGACTATATCCAACTGATTGGCTGACTAATTCAGAAAACAAATTAACTGAAAGGGAGCAGATTTTTAGTCAGAAAACACTTGACCAATTTCACTTGTGCTTTCAATGTTTACAACATCTTAAATCTAGCCAAAACTTTTTATTTCTCAGTGAAGACATTATTTTCATAATCGATGCAATTGATCAAAGCAGTATACCATATGCCTTAGCATTACTCCATCGCTGCAATTGCGAAATCTTTCACAGCAACTTTTATCACGTGTCTATTTGTCTGTCTTGGCTGAAGAATGTTTTCTTGCCCATATAAGGAAGAACCTAGGCCAAAACAGGTTCTAGCGATACAAGTCCTTAATAAAGTCTTGGCCATGGATTTCTAGTGTCCAGACTACCTGCAGCACTTTTCAATGGCAACACGAATAATGCAATGATGATTGTGTATTGATTGTTAATAGACATGCGATGTACGGAGTTTTCCCATATTTGGCTCAGAACCATTTGCCAAGTACCGGATAGCAGGTTGCATATTGCTTTCAATGCGCGGTCTTTGTAATCTCTATGCACGCACATTTAGCGCATAGCTATGGACTACGGGTTGAATTTTGATTATTAGAACAACCTCAGCTACACTACCGTCTATTTAAAATGCTGTTTGTGTGTGCATTTGGTGTATGAATCGGTCTTTTCAAAACCAACTTATCAATCTTTCAACATGCATCGCATCATCAATACTGGTAATTCGCTCAAACTGAAATCACCGCTGTCATTATGAAGAATGAATGCTTTGGTCAAGGAACTAGGGTTTTTTGCTGTATCAAAATTGTTGTTTTTTCACGGGACCTTGATAAATGAGTAAACTCGTACTCATTACAATCCTTACTTTTTAAGGCGCAGGAGTGCATAAAACGAAAGATAGAGGACGCCAGTATTGAGTAACTAGATGATTGAGATGGCTCGGTGGTTAGGTTAGGGTCCTTGGATCTGTAGTACACGACCCGATCAAGTTCAAGTCCTTGTCATGATTGAACTTTTAAATAGACTGAGAAGGGTCCCCAGTTCTCTGTAATTCCAGGCATAGGAACCACGAGGTGTGGTCAAATCGAGAGGATGGACCAGGATACTGCCCTCTAGCCATAGCTTTCCAGTGCCCTGAAAATACCCTCAGAAGCAAGTTAGATATAAATACAAATACAGAATTTTGTTCATTTATGTTCTGTATTAATGGTTCCCCAAGAGCGCCTCAAATTGATAAAAATTTCTCCTTCATCTTTTAATTTTTTAGGGTTTTATATAATTTTTTTATGCATACCATCAAATTTTCTTCTTACAGGGATTAAGACCTCTAGAGCTTCCTTTAAGGGGCCCTAGTATCCTTTAGTAAATTCCAATAGAACAATTGAACTACTCCCAGCTTCTCTTTTTTCTAAATGCCCCTTGCTTGAATGATGTTGAACTTTGCCATTACCATGCTGATGATGTACGATAATGCCGTACCAAGCGTTATCAATAAAATGCATGCCATTTAATCAGGATCTCCCACTGTAAACATTACCAAAAACATGTGCTTAGCCGTGTATCAAAACACCTGTATTAATTGAATAATCAAGTCGGCTGCTCTGTTTACCAAGCTTGCAACTTCGCACTGGTGTTGTCACACATAACAGACAGTCAGCATAGTTGTACATAGTTCATTTTTGACTATGAGGCCACGAATTAGCTCGAAACTCATGGCTCCTGTTAGCTGTTGCATCTCGGATGAAAATGGACAGAGTTTCAGATTTAGAAGTATGCATCATGAGTTTGTTTGTTTATCTAAACAGGCATGACGCTAGCTGTTATAGGATTTATGTCCGAATCAGTACAGTTTGCCACATATATGATGCAAGTTTTTCACTGCACACAAATCTGTTGCACAACGCGTAAAACTGTTTGCTATCCCAATGCTGAAATCAAACAACACACAATGTGTACAAATTTTTGAATTCAGTTTTCTATTCCATGCGCATTGTAGAAATTGTTACCTGGCTAGTGCATCAAGCTTAAAACTCGGAGTGGCAGCTTTTAACTTGCCTGTTTTACGCTCTAAAGTGTATATAGCTTAAGCGATATGTTGTCAGCCACTGCAGTCTATACCTTATCTATATTATGCATATTCCATGTTTTATACAGAAAAAAAGACAGAGAAGAAACAAGCTTCGATTCTGGAAGCCAAGAAGACGTATAATTTATGTAAGTAATATTTACACAAATTTCATAATGTGAGCTTATTTCTAATGATAAAAGAAGAAATCTCAACTACTGGAGCGGTGGATCCATTAGGTGTCTTAATGCTTGTAACAAATTTCTGATGAGAAGTATGGAGCATTATTCAACTTATGCTAATAAATGAAGAACTATGTAACATACTGTCGATTTTTCTCGATATTAGATCATGAAACCAATAGGAATTATTCAAGTAATATGGAATGGCTATTTTTTTATAAAACTTTAGATCCTTTTGCTACGGCGCGGTTACTATCCGACAATAATTTATCCTTTTTGGAGAGATTTGACGAAGGACGACTTTTTATCTTGGCTGAAATGCAAATGCTTTGTAACCAACAATTAGATTTATCTTTAGAATTTATTACTAATCATAATTTTTTCCGTTAAAGTCTTCTATTTCATTGTGAAAAAATTCAAGGTTTTTTTAAAGCAATTTTTTTTTATGTAATTTTTGGTTCAACAATATATGGAATCTTAAAATTGATAAGCGGGTTTCGATTAGATTCCAGCTTTATCTTACCACTGGCTTAAGTTTTATAAATTAGTTACACGGGTAGAGGCTTTGTTGCCTGATCGTTGTTTTAATCATTTCAACTTTTCTCTTCAATGTCTACGGCTCTATGTTGCTTGTGTTAATCGCCGTTTAAACCTTATTTGTAAGTTCCTACATCAAAACCATCTTTGAGGTCTCATGGATATACGTTAAAGCAGATTTGTTTCTAGCGCTTTCTAATTGTTTTGAAGTTACATTTGTCATCTATTATTAAGTCATCATTCTTATGTCTCCTCTTAGCAATTCTACTTGGTCATCTGAAAATGCCCACGGACGATATTTTCAAAGCTGTCCTAGCAGTTGATGAATCGAAACTTTCAGAGCCCCATATTCGCACTTTGCTCATGTGTGCACCAGAACGGCCAGAGGTAAAGACCTTTAAAGCTCTTCAAATGTTTTTTAAATTCTGCCCCTTTGTGGATGTTGCGATTAAATTGCAGCAAAGTATATCTTATTGAATGTCATTGGCATTTAAAATCAACTACAGGTGATGATAAATTAAGTTTCGTAAAAGAAAGTGGTTCAAATAATAAAAAATAAGATAATTTTTTGAATCTTGTGATAAAGTTTGCATGATCGTTATGAAGAAGCCTTCTTGGATTTTAAAATGTTTTAAGGAGGGGGCGTAATCATCAAAACACTACTGCACAGCATAACGTACAGGGAAAATAAGAGAACTATCGTTTTATAAATGTATTGTAAAGATCGGATGAAGTATATGTAGAGATCTGATGTCTGGCAAAGTGGCAAAATAATCCTCAAGAATTTTTAGTTCCTCGAACCTAATTTGCTTCAATATTTACATAAGTCTTTTCAAATCAAGAGCTCTTGCTTTATTGTTTGCTTAATTTGGAGGATGGAGAATAATTTCTTGCCGTACTTTACATTGTTACAGACTGTCAACTAAAATGGTAAATGTGTTTCTACCAATCTAGACAGATGAAATCAAGTTTTTAAGCCCTCTTCTGCAGCTCTGCTGTTAAAAGTAAAGGCCACGCCCAGGTTTTGACTGGGGAAAGAGGGTTGGGCAGATGTTGGACTTAACCTAGCTCAGCAGGCGTTTGTCTTGACAGGGTTTCCCAGGATGGCGGTTCACAAGACCCTTTCCGTACTTTATGTATCTTCCTTGTGTTTATAACCAGTTTTATTTTCTTTCTTTTTCAGATTGAATCGTTTAATAGTTTCAGTGGTGATGCCAAATCGTTGAGTACTTCCGATGCATTCACTGCCAAGGTAACTTCTTATCAATAATCCGACCGGTCATCTGCACCCAAGTCAAAAACATCTTTGATCGTTACTTTTGAGGCAATCGACATATGCTAAAATGTCTTGAGCCATCTTTCAATAGGCGTGTGAGTTGTATCATGTGAGCAATGCATCCCTACTGTAACATAGATTTCTGCACCTTGCACTTGATTAATTTTCTAGCTTCTGTTAACTGCGCTGAGTTAGTTACAAAAAAGTTACGAAACCGTTTGTTCCTGTATCTGTGAATTGCCTTCAAATTAAATCGTTTTAAAACATACCTCTACTGCTTCGCTTTTTCTTTCCCATCTAATTTTTTCAGCCCTGAAGTTTTATAAATTTGTTTCGATTTACTTTTCGATATACTTTTTCATTGCCACTTTCTTACATTACGTCGATAAATGTTAACGAAAAGAAATTAAATGAAAATAAAATCATAAAATATACTTAATGTCGTGTTCCGTATGACTTTTCCTTTGTGTATCACATCGAGACTTCAGTTCCATTATTTCACTAAAAGATATTTTTTGCAGATGCTGAGCGTTCCAAAATACAACGAAAGGCTCCGTGCAATGCTTTTTAAGGCACGCTTTTACGACCGAATCGACGAAATACGGCCTGTAAGTTGTAGTTTATTTTCGAAGCTGCATCCAGTAGATATTTTGCTCAAATTTCTCAATTTTCTGTAGTGCCATGAAGCATTACTTTTATAAAAATACTGTTACTGATCTAAGTATTGTTTGGTGTTGATATGTCTGTCTTGAGGAAAGCGTCGATATCTCATTCTTTTACGTTGCACCCAACACTTCTCCCCTTAGTGCTTGGACAATATTCGTTCGTCTATATTTATTTTATGCAATCAATAAATTTAATGAACACTACAGAGGGACAAGGGATTTGTTTTTTCTTTCTATCAATCACTAGATCGTTCTCTTTGTGAAAGTTGCCCATTTTCAAATCAGCAATTAATTGTTTTTATCAGTTATACACCCATCTCACTACAGTTTACTTTAAATTGCTCTTTGTTGCAATCACTTCGATAACAAAATTATTCTTATAGGACATAGACTCTGTAAGCAAAGCATCAGAGGAAGTGAAATCAAGCAAACTGCTAATGAAAATTCTTGAGGTGAGACCAATTTCATTATTTCGTGTAACTAAACAATTTAGCCATACATTTGCCAAGTTTGAGTTTCTTGATGCAAGGCGTGATTCCATTCTATTTTACTTCTTGACTTCATGTCAGAATTTAGGAACCAATAATGTTTTTCTTAAAGATTATTTAAACATATTACTGTTGTCTCGAAAATTATCCCTCTTATTTTTCTTTTTTCAAGATCGTCCTTGCTACTGGAAATTACATGAATCAAGGCAATACCAGCATGTCTGGCGCTTCTGGGTTCAAAATTTCGTTTCTTACAAAGGTAAAAACTTCCATTTCCTTCCTTTCATACGAGCTGAATAATCCGTATGATATTTAAACCTGCTATGAAATTGAATTCTCATTTACCTGCTACGTAACGCTAAAAAAGTCAATTTTCAAATACATGCCTACCGTCAATTTGCCTATATTGCAATATGCGAACTTATAATGGGATAATAGCGTAAAACACGGACACAGAATGGTCCCCCTATAAGTGCAAAGACAATGATCCTTGAATATGAAATGATGCTGGGAGTTAACTTACTTGTAATTAGATAACAAAAAATATTTTTAAAGAACAGACATGCAAGGAATGAAAATAATGATATGGCAATGACACAGTCGCTGTTCTCTGCAGCCAAACAAATTAAGCCAATAGAAACAAAGTAAGACTATTTGTACCTGACAAATAACTTATAATCAATTGATCTTATAATAGAGAATAATATTACTTGGTGCTGCAGATGCCCTCAATTCGTTATTTGCCACGCATTTGCCTTTTATTTGTAATTTAGTTTTCTTCTTATAGCTCATAAGCACGAAGACGAGTGATAACAAATCAACTCTCCTTCATGTTATTGTCAATTCAATCAAGAACAACAAATCTGAATTGCTCGATGTTAAAGACGAACTTCCAAACGTACCCCAGGCCGCTAAAGGTACCTGAACTTTCAGTTTTGCACAGCCTGGGCTTTTTTCTACTTGATCATTTTTCGAACTTCACTTTGAAAACGGCTTTTAATAAAACAAACATTTTACTGGAAACATTTTACAAAGTTTTTTAGCCTGACACTCCTTAGAGTATAAAACTTCAGAATTCTATAAGTAAGCTGTAGCATGTTTGCTTTTTTCAAAGCCATTTTCAAATTTTGTACCACCAAAAATTGTTCAAATTTCATTTTATAGAATTTGGTATATAGTTAAGTTATAGGAGTCTAAATTTGTGCATGTCTATTGCAAACTTTGTTGTTTGTTGCTTCTTATTTTACTCATGATGCATAATATTTTATCTCAAAGATTGTCACTACGAAAGGCTGAACCTTTTCTAGGAATTTGGATTAAATTTGCCCATAGGTGTTTTTATAATAAACAGGAAAATTTCCCGAGCTGTAACCGAGTATATACCCATTATAACACATTTAAGTTTGGTTTCTCTAGTTAATATTACCGTTACAAATATTTTTCTAGCATCCAAAGGAAAAGTATTTTTAATTTTTTATTTTCTTTACGAATCTGTTTTAGTTTCAAGCCAAATGCTCAGCCTTGAAATTGCAGAGCTGCGAACTGGAATGAAGGTGGGTTGCTTGACTAGGTTTTTTTCTTACTTATTAACTGGCAAGCCAAGTTTCTTTTCCAGCCAAAAAATAATTACCGAAGCCTTGAAATAAGCTTTTCCAGTAAAAAATGTAAGATATTTTTTTAAAAACTGGAGTCTGGGGAAGTTAATTTGTCCGAATATGCCAGTCAACATATAAATAAAGTTGCTTAACAACTTTCAGAAAATATTCCAGAGATCTATGTAAAAAATACTAAGACAAGGCTTGGCATAAAGTTTAGCGTGTGTATGGGTGTCCCCATGGCTGGCTTGGGCCTTTTTAATTTATTAAAGCCTTATACAATTGATATTTTTTATTCATTTAAATCCAGGAAATACAAGATGAGTTGAAAGTTTACGAATCAGACGATAAAGACGACAAATTCTGTGAAGTTATTGGTGTATCTTTTCCATGAAAACTTTGATTACATTTGTGCATGCTCGTCGCTCTGTTTAATATGCAAAGTTATATTTCAAGTGGCAAAAACCCAATAACAAACTTGAGCTAATCCATTCAAATCTTTAAAATGATCTTTTTCTTAAAAAATATATTTGAATGTAACAGCTACTTTCCTGTGAACAGTATTCATGAATATATCTTTTTGCTTCGTTTATTGCATTTTTGTACACAATATTTACCCATCCGTCCGTATGATAATTTGGATTTGTCAGTCCCGTGTATTCTTCATCGTATGGTGCAGCCAACATGGAAATTTACTTTAAACCCTTTTCAGGAAGGTTGAGATGAGAAAAGATACGCCTTGCAGCAATAGCTATCATTCAGTACCAAAGGAATGGGGGCCTTTTTATCCGTAATGTGTATACTAGGCCTTTTCTCTATGGTCAGCACTCTATGTTTTCAATGTTATTAGTTTTCGACTTTGATTTTTTCCCTAACTCCGAATTAGAAATTTATAGAAAGAGCTGAGAATCAATTTAAGGACTTGATGGACACATACGAAAAGATGACAACGTCCTTCAAACAAACAGCTGAGTTTTATGGCGAGACGAAGATCACGACTGAAGATTTTTTTGGCGCTTTTGCTATTTTTCTACAAAACTTTGAGGTATGTCTAGTTTAAGGATTTTAAGCTATCCTTTTGACCATCCTACGACAGAGTGAGGTTGGCTTCAATTTCATCAAAAAGATTCTAGTCGGCTTTGCTTTTTCCTTCTCCAACTCATTTCACTTTCTAACCCCTAAGAATTTCTTAGAATGTTACCCTTTTGCTTGCAATATTCCTAAAATTTCACTGCATACATTTAGTATGCATGGGTGCATTCTCGTAATACGACTTTTACTTAAGGACAAAAGAGTTGTTTTGCCTTTTTCGATCCAGCTTTCCAAAATGCCCAGTACGAAACGTTTCGAAAACAAGAAAAAGACACTAACCTTACTATTCCATCTCTAAAGCTAAGAAGATTGTACAAACTTTTTGTCGATGCTATTTGGAGAGCCAAAAATCTAAACTGTTTAATATTTTTCTTTTTTTCCGAATACCAATACTTCGCCCCCTCCCCAAGAACGACGAAAAAATGTATTTCCTAATATCCTTTATAATTTTATATTTCCAAGTAAGCCAACGCTTGTCCGAACTTATTTTTGTATTCATTAACAGGATCCTGTTCAGCATTGCTGCTAAAGTTATTCTAGTATTTCTAGTACATTTTAAATTTTTCTAGTATTATTACAGTGCAAAGTTTGTTATAATGGCATATTTTCATTGCAAACGTCAGAGATAAATGGTTGAGCAACTGTATAGAAATTGAATACGTTGAAAACATTCATTTAACCGCTTATTGATACAGAACAATGGGTTTGCTGAGTGACAGGTCTGAAAAAGTTTTATTCGGTTATTTATTTCAACAGTGTTTATTGTTTATAAGTCTTGTACATTTTGGAGGGCCCTTTTCTGTTAGACTTGAATTCATAAAGGCTCTGGTGTTAGGGTATAGGTCTTTGTGCTTCCTCTTAACGGAAAATAGGCCTTTTAACAAAAAAAGGAGTCATATAAGCCTTTGGGGCCGCAGAATTTCGGTGTACCTCGCGTTACTTTCGATCCGCCTCTAGATATAAATTTATGATTATTTTAGACATTCAAACGGAATTTGCCTAAAAACGGAATCCATGACACACTACAACATTGTTATCAGATACGCATTGTTATCAGGGGCGGATCCAGAGCAAATTTGTAGAAGGGGCAGTTGGTAGTGGGGGCGCTCAAAAATTTTCAGAAATTGGTGACGAGAAGTAGGTTTAGCGCCTTCGTTGTCTTCAAAAGCGTGATTTTTCTAGCAAAACATGATCCATTTTCCGAACAAACAAATTGACTTTGCAGAAATCCTTGAGAAAAATTAACCTATAGGTAAACTTTTTTACCTGATTCTCATTCTTCAAAGGGCGCACAGTTTCACAAAAGGGGCGCCAGACTTGCTTCAACTCGGCTCCCTTAAATCCGCCACTGATTGTTATCCGTTTTTTTTCAGAGCGTAAAGAAAGATGTGATGTCAGAAGAAGAAAGGAAAGAATACTATGCCAGAAAGGAAAAGGAATTCGAGGTATGTATTAAATATGTGGACCATTTTGCTTGTTGAAAAGGGAGACGTTGAGCTTTTTTTGGTTTCAGGGATCGGGTGAAAAGCTTACAAACAACTTGCTCTTTTTATGATTGAAACGAAACTACATTGTGATGATGTTTCAGCATATTAACTTGACTGGTAAAGTTTGTTCTCCTTGACAATTTCGAATGTTTTTTTCTTTAATCCTATTAAGACACCAACAAGGCATCTATATAATTGAAACTACTGATTTGTCGTTGGTTGACAGTAAAGTGAAGGATAACCTACTCTCACCGGAACTCTAGAACCCGTCTGTCAACTCGGCTTGCGATTATTAACAACTGGCGGATCGAAATTAAGCAGGAAAAAAGGGGGGCCAAAACAGGGCCTGTCCGGGAGTTGAACCCGGGACCTCTCGCACCCTAAGCGAGAATCATACCACTAGACCAACAGGCCGTTAATATATAGTATAAGAATTTCCTTAAAGTTTCCTCAAATACCTGCCCTCTGGCAAGTAACCAGTAATTTTTTTAACGATAAAACCACCATCTTTGTAATCTGCGTTTTTGCACCTGCGCAGCTACAGGAAGGTCTTGAAATCCTTCAGTCTATACACCTTAAGCTGAATTCACACTGGGCGCGGCGCGTCACTGAGCGTCATCGAGCGTCGCGTCATGTACTTCTTCATGCTATTCACACACGATGCGTCATCGAGCGGCGTGTTTTCTGTTTTCCCATGCTGTTCACAGCAAACTTGCAAAATTCTTGACAAGTTGTACTGTATTACTTGCATTGCAAAGTCAAGCCAGACATTTAAGTTTGCTACAGAAACGGATGAAACGGTAATCTGAAGCTAATATATCAAAAACAGCATCTTGGCCAAAAAATGAGGTATTTTAAGTCTCGTGCGGTTTCTTTAACATTTCGGTTCGAGAGGTTGGCCAATGTTTTGACAGGAAGACGATTCTCTTCAAGCATTCATTATAGAACTGAAATATTTATTGATATTAAAGATTTGGAAGGTCTACTACAATTAGCAAAATGTTTGGCTTTACAGATTCATGGGGTTTCCCTTCCTGCCAAAATTCGAGGGAAAATTAAACAGCTTGTTTTTATCAACACTCCCCAAAATTTCCATGAATTAAATTCCTCGGAAATAAACCTTTGGAAGGTATTGAAAGCTAAACGGAGAGTGATTGAAATATTTTTTTACCAAAACGGAACATACAATGACTCAACATCATTGTTGAATTGAACATCAACGAGGCAACTTTATAAACAAAGACACTAAACACGAATAATACTGTTACTTATCACAAACTAATAAATGTGATTTGTTTTTGTTACTTTCAGAATTTAGCCCCCCGATGCTTTAATCAGAGAGACTCATCAAAATATACTTCACCGTACAAGCAATACAGTTTTATAATGGCCTATTTCAGAAGCTCCTTGTTTACGTTTCTGGCTGTCATGCCGTCTGGCTCCTTGTTTATTCTCTAGGTTTTCTATTGTTCTGAAAATTTATTTAACTTTGACGCTCGGTGACGCGTGGCTGAAAAAACGGGCTGCGTGCGCATAGCTGCCGAAAATGCTAACCATATTTGGTCAGCGTCATGACGCGCCGCGCCGTGACGCGTCCAGTGTGAATTCAGCTTTATTGTTCAGTCTCGACCGTTTAAATGATTAAAAGCCAAATACCAGACAAAGCTGGGGGCACGTAGAGAAAAACTTGTAGAAATGAAACAGGAAAACAGCACTCCCTCCATTGTAATAGATGTTGAATATAAAACTATCTGCGTTTTACTTAAAAAGTTTAATTTCTAGCTAATGTTTTTTTGCTAGGAAATGAGAAAGCGAAGAGGCTCGTCCGTGAGTAGAAGCCGTACTCAAAGTGAAGAAAGACAGACTCCTGTCTCTGTGGTTGACGAAACTGAAATTGCGAAAGGATTTGAAGCTATCGTGAAAAAGAGATTTCCAGACGGAACTGATGGTGAAAGGGAGGGTGATATTTTGAAAAACTCGCTAAACGAAGTTGTGACTCATATCAAGGCTTCAAATGAGTTGCCTTCCCGAAAACGAGACAGTGACAAAGGCGTTGAAGAAAGTGCCACTGAATCAGGCTCTAAAAATGTCAGTAGATCGGATATTTATGGACCCAAAAAGGAAGTGTTTGATAATTTAAACAGCCAGCTTTCTAAAGTCAATGCTGACCGGTCGCTGGACACGACTCCAGGGAAGGAGGGGAATGCGTTTACCTCGCTGTTAAGACGAAGACCGACGGTTGAGGAGAGTAAACATGAGGAGAAAAAGACTGAAGAATCTTTTTTCAGTACGCTACCAAGGACCAAAGCAAAGCCCCCACCAACCATTCCCAAAAAGAAGAAGGTACCCCCTCCACCTGTGAGGCCTAAACCCAAGCCTGGCACAGGTGAGATGAGAGCAGCCACTCTTCCCCGGTCGTTGTCAAAGGCAAGACCTACAGAGCAGCCAGAAAGTGTTGGCAGCCCAAAACATTCAAGAAAGATTTCTGTGCCAGCAAAAATGCCACATGACCCGTTGTCTTCCTCAGAGGTTGAAGCCAATCAGGAAAAAAAGAAGTTGTCTGTTACTCTCGAGGAGAAGGCAAACATGCGAAACGAGGCTGCTGTAAGCGAAATTAAAGACAGTGTGAAAGGTTTACTAAAGGGTACAGACTATCAAGGAACATACACTGAACTTTCAAAACAGTCGGCATCAATCACAGTCGCTGGTAAGCCTTCAGAAACCAGTGGGAAACATGGAGAAACGTCAAAAGCAAAAGCAGAATCGACGGCGATCGGAAAGCCAAAAGTGACTGAACAGCCTACTCAAAAGTCAAATGAATTAGTTATAAATTTGGGAAAGACACTCCCAACATATAAGATCGAAGTTAGCTATTTTGAAGAGAAGCAAAACCCCCCAGAAGAAACAAGAATCAGAGTAAATTCCATGAGCGAAAAGCCAAAGAAGCCAACAAGAAAAATCTCAGATCATGTGACGATTAAACCGTTTGAAGCAACCAATGTGAGCCCAGGCTACGAACAGAAAGATTACGATCATGAGGATGATGATTATGACAACCTGCCGTCTGATAAATTCGATGAAAAGGATGGCCAAGTTGAAGAAACACCTGTTAATGTAGTAGAAGATGAGCCCGATTATGCCATTCCGGGTTTTGCAACCTATGACCGGAAACCAGAAGATTCAAAACAAACTCGTCTGGATGGAAAAGCTGATAATGTTTTGACCAGGAAAAAAGATAGCGACAGCTTAAATGATTACGATTTACTGGAAAATTTCGAGCAAGAAGGTAATAATGAGGCTAGTAAGTCTACAGACACACGTAAAACCAGCTTACAAATCCGGCCTAATCGACGACCTGCTCGCAGTTTATCTTTGAGTTCGTCCCAGAGCTCGGAAAGTGATTCTCCTAAATCTTATAGGAAGTACAAGCAAAGTCGTTCTACAGCATCCAAGACAAAGTCATCGCCATTGCAGAAAATCAAGGGGGTTATTGATGGAATAAGAAGTCGCTCTTCGTCGGATGCTTCAACTACAAGTAACGTTCTAGAGATGAAACCAAGCAGGGACTTTGCAAATCTCAGTCCAAAACCAATATTAAAATATGGCGACCTAAGCTCACTACCAAACCGTTCACAATCTCCTCATTCAGTAACTTTTCAAGACTTTTCATCCGATGAAAGGGAATCAGAGGTTGTAAAGCTGAGCAGCGAGAGTGAAGATTTTATTGAAAATTCAGTACGAATCCCATCTTTACCCAAGGAACCCACTCCAAAGCCAACACTGGATCCAGTAGCTCCACCTATCCCTCCTTTACATCGCTTAAAAAAACCGATAAAAGAGCCAAGTATCGCCAGAGGACCAATAATGCCAATTCCATTCCACTTGCGCAAGCAGAATCAAGAAAGTGAACCAAGGCTAGAAATGCCTCCAGCACCACCAAGTGGGCCACCGCCACCACCAAGTGGGCCACCGCCACCCCCACCACCAAGCGAACCACCCCCACCACCAAGCAAACCGCCTCCACCACCAAGCGAAATCCCCCCACCACCAAGTGGACCACCACCAGCCAGTGATCCCCCACCGTTGCCAAGTGATCCACCACCACTGCTAACTGGTCCGCCACTTAGCAAGCCACCACCTTTGCCAGATTCACCACCCATGTCTTCTCATAAAAAGCAAACACCCAAGAAACCAGGACCGTTGCCTGTAGATTCTATAAATCCTGTACCAAATGCAAGCAATCCGTTGTCTCCATCGATTCCACAGTTTAAGCCACCCCCACCACCTGTGGCAAAACAAAATGTGTCTGACTCTTCATCGAAAGACAAGAAACCACCACCACCCCCAGCTCGTACAGTTACCCTTTCGCCAAGTCCCCCACAGATTTTGTCGCCGGTATCAGATCAGATGCTGTCACCGGAGAAAAAGTCTAAACCAGCACCACCACCAAAGCGAATTCAGTCCCTGCCAAGTTCAGCATCGCATGTCAAGGACGCATTAAATCGAAATGCACAGTTGATTGTTTCGTCAAATGATGCAAGTCGCAATCAAAAACCTCTAAATGGATCTGATTCCAGATTAAAACCAATACCAAATAAGCTTATGAATGGCAACAGCAGACATGGCGATAAAAGGCAGAACGCAGAACCTATCAAATGCCCGACCCCAGACCTTCAGGACTTTACAGAACCACTAGACAATGTTCCAATTGTACCCCCGCCGCCTTCCCCATCACCCCCAAAGACCTCGTATATGGATTCTTTTATGAACAAGGGGGTAGATTCCAATAACATTACAGACAATAAGAATCAAAGCTCGACGACGACAGGGACAAAACATGCTGTGTCTAATATGAACATGTTTATGGTCAAGGTTTTACCCACGTCACCTCCGTTGATTTTCAGAAAAGATGAAGCCAACATTGTGGACCATACTGGAACTCCAAACGGATTGTCTTCTACGCAAAATTTTGACATCAGCGATCCTATAGATAAGTCAACGGATTTCCATGAAACGGAAGAAAAGCGAGACAGAACTCAGTCAGTTACCTCCGTTACGTCGGTTTCTTTTCCCCCGTTACCACCAGATTCTTTACTCGCATCGGTTGATGAAAACTACGGCGAGAATTATGAAGAAGAGCAAAACTTTGATGAATCTCAAGTAGTATTTCATTTTTAGCCAACCCAACAAAGCCCTGAATCTTTTTAAACGTAGCATGAATATTTCTTGCGATCCTGATTTCAAATGAGCATTTGTAATTCCCACGTTTTTGCAGCAACATTTGCTCAATCTACAGAAGAAAATCATGATGTCTTTTACTGTAATGTTGACAGTTACGTCACGGACTATACCATCATCTTAGAGCTTTTTCATGTCGCTCTGTTAGGATGATCACTACGATCATATTCGTATCGAAATCTTTCTTACTTTTTCTGCAGTTCAAAAGATGCCTTATCTTAATCTGTGGTTTATTTTCCCCGTAGCAATTGTGGCCTTCTAGGATAGCTGCAAAATTCTTTGATTATATTAATGATATTACATGATAGAATTTTTAATTCTGTTTTTGTAGATAAGTGATTTTAAAATGGTAACTTACATATTGATTTGTAAATGATTTTTAGGGACAGTTAAATTTGATTACACATCTTAATTTTTCGTCATTTTTTATCATCTAACCGTAAAGTGCTATGGCTCCCTACATCCAACATTTCAGGTTACAATTTTTAACGACCTTTATAAAGCTACATTCTGGAATCCTACAGAAGTAAGCGTAATAATGTTGTGTTTGACTCGAGTTAGCACTTTGGTTGTTGGCAAGAAATTGCCACACCCCACATAACCTGAATAGCAATATGTCTTTGTTTTTGCCCATGTACTTCCAACTACCATGAGACCAAAACAAATCTTAAAAGGGGTTGAATATTCCCCATGGGCTGTGATCGTGCCAATCCCAAAGCTTTCCTTCCACGAGGGAATTAAAATATTCTGTCGTTATTATTAACACAAAATCAATTTATGCGTGCTTGTGACTTCCATCCATCCTAAGCAGCCAAAACAGACGCATGGAATTGGTTTTAAATCTGACTTTATGAAACTTGCTCAAGTCATAGCACGCATTTAGAAGAGGTAAAATGTTATTAAAAACAAGCTAATTGTTTTCAAACGTAGCTCTTTCGTTTATATTGCTGGTTCCTGTTTCTATCGACTAGGTACTTTACAATATCAAATAGTGCTTATCTCGCTTCCATGTAAAGGACTGTTCTTTTGCTAACACGATTTTCGTTATTTATGTTTTCATCGTATTTAATTGTATTGTAAATTGGGGATATATTGTAAAGATATTCTTTTAAAGCGATCCAGTTTGTATTCTCTGTTTCCATCACAAGCTCAGTAAGCTCAAGGTCAAATGAATCTGCCAGTACCATTGGAAGAATACCTAGAGTTATTGGAAGTACCCTTGTTTGAGCACAAAAGAGAATGAGGGGATTGTTTGTTTGGAACAAAAGATTCATACAATTTTAACCCCTCCTCCCCCTAAAAAAAGTGAAGAGTATCTACGGCTCTAGATCGTCACACTTGATAAAAAAGCCATGCAAACCTGTCCTATGTAACCCTCACAAACCATTTCATCAGTGGCTTTTATTGACCAACATTGAAACTTAACATTGAGAGATGCGTGTCTCCTTTTGAAGCCACACACACTTTCATAAAAAGACTCATTCTGCAACAGACTATTTCTTTAAGACTTTTAGGAAAACTTTATCCTAAGAGATTCCCAAACAGGACCGTTGTTAGAGAATGGTAAATTAAACTAAAAAAATAAATGTGCTAGACTGTCACTGGTTCTGAATCAAATTCACAACTGTACCTCACTGGAGAGCAAACTTTTTCCAAGCCTTTGTTTAAATACGAACCTGCCAAGACAGCCTTCCTTCATCTTCTGCTTAGAATGAACCCAATCCATTCAGGTATATTTTTACTCTGATGAAATTTCTATACATTATTATAAATACAACTGGATACTGATTTAGGTGATAAGAATAAATAATTGAACTAGTTATTTTCTAGAATTTTTGCTGCTCTGTTCAGTCTTTGATGATTTACTTTTTTCATCTATTATTGGTATAAAATGTTGGTAGAAGCCCTTGGTTAGGTCTGCCATGTTTTCTTGGGTGCATTCTGGTAGCTCTGCCACAGCTTTAGCTGAAAAGTAAAACAATAATTAACTGTGGTCACTACTTACACACCAGTCTCTATTTCGAACAAGTCAAAGCAAACCAAAGGAAAAGGACACCTGAAATTCATTTCAATCCAAAATAGATATTCTTAAATCTGATTTTCTGTATAAATGTTTCATATTTTGAACAGCACAATAGGCAGGATCTTGTTATTTAGCATTTAAACAAAGATCTGTGATTTGCTACTTCGTTAATTATTAGATAGATAATCTATTAGATACAATGAGAGACAAAGGTCCATTCTGTTCCTACTTGAAAGTCATACCTGGTGAGCCAGCCATCAGAGTAAATGGCGGAACCACAGTTTCTGGTGGCAGGACAGTGTTATCTGCTATAACACAGCAATCTTTGAGTACTGACCGTCTTCCCTACAAGGGCAATGACTGACACTTTTAAAAGTCATATTCTTTTTGCAATAGTTTCACTGTGAGTTCCAATTGCAATTTTTTTCAAAGAATAATGCAAGGTAAAGTATATCAAATATACTTTGCATAGTTGAAATCCAGTAATCTTTTCAATTTAATAAAAATGAAATTTTCTTTTTACAGTGAAGTTAGGAAAAATATTCAGGGGTCTCTTTCAGAATCTCAAGAAAAACATTTGATAACTTTTGCAATTAAGAGAGTTGTTTTAGGAAACCACTAATGCAGAAAATGACATTCAGCTGGGGACTGAATTATTTCAGTTTTTGGACATCCTGATAGAAATCTACTGTTTGCCAGCTATTTCAAATCGCTCAGGTGGGACAAACCAGCAAAAGTTCATGATGGATAGAGGCTGATCTCCTATTATTCTGGTTGAATACTTTTTTAAAAAAAGAGAAATACATTGATGAGCAATGGACCTTGTTTGAGCTACAGGAGGAATTTACAAGCCTCAACCATATTGATTGCATTGTTTGCCAAACTTGAGTTATGGCTCAATGAACTCTTGAGATGGTCTATATAGCTCCATGGCCATAGAGTTGCCTTTTTCAAAAAACTGTTTAAAGAAAATCTATAAAAATAGGAAAATATTTATAGCTTACAATTATACAATTTTTTCCAATGTAGACATGTGAGCCAATTTGTGCAGCATTGACTATACAACCCTCTTCAATATAAACATGGTCACCAATATGCAGTGGAAAAAATGCAACACTAAATAGAGAAAAAACCATATGAAAAAACCATATGAAAAAACCATAAATTCAATTCCTAATTGTGGCACTGACGTTTAATAGGTTGCTTCTTGCTCTAAATAAAATAGGAAAATTTGCTTCAACAACTTGTAATATACATCCAAAAGACTTTTGTGGCTTGATTTCTTTAAACATTCCTGATAGTTTGACAATTTCAGATGCAATAAAAAGATACACAAACAGGACTTGTAACTTCTCAGTACCAGACCCCTAATTTGTACATACATACCCTTTACTAAATTTTTTGAATGGTGGTCGTACAACACTTCTTTTATTGATGACACAGTGCCTTCCAATTCTCACATTTGCAAGATCACCTCTTATTATGCACTCTGCCATTATAATTGTCTAAAAAAGATAAAGATGTTTCACTGTTCTTTATAAAACATAAACAACTGGAATGAAAAATTGTAACTGAATATTTTGACAGACATAAAATTTTCCATGACTACCGATATTTTGTCTTTTGGTTTTGAATTAATACAACACTAACTTACTTATCAATTACTAAAAGAGTTGCTTCATGTTTTGCTGGCCTTGTAATTTACTCATATGCTATTGCAGTATCAGTGACCATTGTTAAACTTCCATTGTCCAGATTGGCTTTGTTCAAGCAAAAGCAAACATTGCGTGTTCTAATTGCCAGATTTATTGACTATTCAAAAATAAAATTTCTTTGAAAAAATAATTGCACTTACTAGCCTTGTATATACTACATGCTTTCAGGAGTGGCAAACTAAAAAATGCGTTAATCTCTGTGAAAACTGCCAGAACTCCTCAAATGAGTCATATCTCAGTATGAAATCTCATACCTTGCCATTTAGAACTATATTTTGACTACCACAAAGCACTGACTGTCTGCTAACTTTGTTTCCAGATGCCTAGAAAGATACAAGAAAAATTGAACTGTTTGCGGAATATCAAAAGTGTTCAAGGCTACCAGTGACTATTCAGGCAAAAAGAAGGGAATCATATGGGAAGGTAAAGTTTACAATTGTTTACTATTTAAAATAGTTCGGAAAAGCAGAAACATGTCATGCTAAAACATGTCAAACACATTTCTGCTTTTCCATGCTATTTTCAAGTTTTGTGCTACTAGAGGTTTACTATGTAAAAACCCTAGATTTGATCGTTAAATAACAATCTTGAAGGCTAATTAGAAAAGATTAGCCACCACTGACCAGTGAATTCAGAATGTTATTCAATGTTAGGTCTACATTGGAACTTTTTTATATTATGCTAAGTATCTCTGGCATGGACTTGCCATCCAGGCTGGTGCACTAGTCATAGACTGAGGCAATTTCCATTTGTGGGGCATATGATATATTTCTTTATCACAAAGTTTTGTGGAAAGCCTTTTGCCTAGGCAAGCCTCTGGTGTTGGTGAATACACCAATAAAAGTTATAAACATACCCTAGTGTCAGGTATACAGGCCATGCTGGGAATAAAATGGCAGGGGTGCAATGAATCGCACTCCTTGTGGTGCCAAGGCGTGCAATGGTGTGCTATTGCACCAAAGTACTTAATAATACAGTCAGCTGTATATGGACTAGACTACATAACTTTATCATAAGAAAACATAAGCAAGGCTAGTCCAATCAATACATTTTATCAAACAAGCTTTATTAAACCCAACATATTAAAGAGAAAAACATTAACAATAAGGTAGGTTAATTATTATGTAATCCTGCAGTTTATAAACCCTTCTGGTCTGCTTCTCCTGACAATCTCGTTCTCAAAATTTAAGAATTCTAACTGTATTTACACCATAAAGAAAACTTATCTGTTGACTAGTATTAGAACGAATTAAATGGTTAATTGCACGTTTATATTTTGTAAGAAAGCTACAGTAGCTAAATCCTCACAATTCAAAGTCTCTTAATTTTGGAACATTTTTGGCCACATTTTATTAGTAAAAGTTTCTAAAGAGTTTTGTATTTGCATACAAATTAGAAAAATGCACATAAAGTAAACTGTATATAGAGGAATTGTGAGTCCTGAGAAAACGGGATTTTACTGATCGCACTTGCAAGATACACTCGTAAACCACAGTGTAATCTGGGTCAAATCATTTAAAGCTTAAAGATCAATAAGCCTGTTTAAAAAAACAAAGCCTTACATGTGCCATGGGGTTGTAACTACAGTGGAATCCCGATATAACAAACTCTGAAGGGAACCAGAAAATAGTTCGTATATCGGGAGTTTGTTAAACCGAGAGATAATGTTTTTTAGGGGTCCTTTCGCAGTTCACGCCTAAAAAATCTGTGGTGGGCTTGTTTAGGTATCTTGGCTTGTGTATCTCCAACCTCTGTGCACATGTACAGCCATACATGTACCATTTAACTCAAAAAAAACAATCTGAATTCAAATAATACAACTGGCTGGTCATTGAAAATGAAAATCTTAATGTTCCTTTTATAACTTGGGACCAAGTGATTGGCAAAGCTGGTATCACTTCGCTCCTAGTTGGTGCCTGAATGATGTCTTCAATTACTTCACATTCTTACTTGTCTTTTTCTGCTTCTCCATCTGGGTCTCTCAATAAAATTTTGTCGTCGCTTATTGCCAATTATTCATATATAAGAAGTTATTTGTTAGTGTCAATGTACTCATTCGCAGTAATTTCTGACGCAATCGAACTTTCATCTCGTGCTCTGAGTGTATCAGCCCGGGCTTGAAATGTATCATCAGCATGTTTTGTCGATTATAAAAATGATTTCTCCCCAAGAGAAAGTGATAAATGAATACCGAAAATAAATAAACAAAAATAACAGATGAAGAATTTATGAAAGTTCGTTATATCAAGGGTAATTATGATGAAGGGACCTAAAAATGGTTCGTGATAACGAGAGTTCGTTATATCCGGGGTTTGTTATACCGAGAGAATTTGTAAGGAGTTTGTTAGGCAGAATCCAAGGGACCAGGCATTTAGTTCGTTATACCGGGAAGTTCGTTATATCCGGGGTTCGTTATATCGTGATTCCACTGCAGTTATTGCAAATGAGACAAGCGACCACAACTGCAAAGCAAGGATTATCGGCCTAAAAGGTCGAGCGATTTTCAGACCTCAACTCAAAACTTTGATAAAGAAATTATGGAAACCTTCGTTTACAGGGGTTTTTCGCCACTTTCAGAACTCCTGTTAGTTTTAAACATGGTATCATCGTGTGCCTTGAAAGTCCGGCTACTAGAATCTGAAGAAATCGAGAAGTGGATGTTTTTATTCAAAAAACGTTTACCATAACTTTAAGCAAATTAGAATATTCGCCAAATTTTTCGTCAAGTAGAAATCAAATAGAAACGATTGCGTGATTATCACCATTCGTTCATAGTTGAATTATGATAAAAAAATTACATTGGGCCATATTGGTCACTTTAGAATAAAGTGTTATTTGCAGATTATTTAAGGCGTGCGATAAACTGCACTTCTGAGCAACGGAAGGCGTGTGCCAAGGCGTGGGCGTGCGATCGCACGCCATTCCCAGCATGGCCTGGGTATAAATTTCAATGACCTTACTTCTGAATTCACAATTTCAATGCACACATTTTCTGCAATTCTTTCATGCATCTTGGTTATTTCAGATTACTTTGCATTTTACTGAATAGAAATTTAAAATCATTGTATACGCGAAATTCAACTTCTTTCTATTTTATACCTTCAAACAGGGTACACATACTGATATTCTAGTCTGCAGAAAACTGCAAACTACAAAATATAATAAAAACTGTGTGCTATAAGGCATGGGACACCTTTTATGTACATTCTGCGTTAATTGTACAGTTTGTACAGTTTTCTGCCATTTCTGGAAATAGTAATATCACCACTTTTGGTACCCACAACAATGATAATTTGACTGCTTGTTTTATTGTTTGCCTGGCCGCTTTTGCAGAAAAATATCCACACATGGAAAGCCTGAGTTGTCATCCTACAGTCCACAACTTCAATAATTAACACTTTCCTAGGAATCTGTGATTGTTTGCAAAACTACAAATAAATGAGAACTGCGGTGACCTGACTGATAAGAAAACCTTTTTTCAATTGGTCAATGGTCTACTAATTTATTATGGCCTAACATAAAATACTTGTAGGTTTTGTGAAAAGATGAAGTGTAATAACTTTATGTTCCTAAACAGGAGATTTAACAATCGATGAAAATTTAAACCTGTGGTTTAGACTAATAGAAAAAGTAATTGTGAACAGATCGACTTACGGTTTCGATAAACTCCGACTTGACATAATTCGTATCTTGCAACTCCATTTTCAGTTCAATAACGCCCAACAACCGCAACAACATCAATTTTTAGGGGTAGGGTGGCATTATTACGTACCTTGAAGTAACTTTTCTAAAAAAAATTCTTTTTTTAATGTTGGCATTTGTAAGGATAGGATATGAGCTAGTTTTCGTCAAGATATCATATAGTTGATTAAGTGCATGCAAGGTTTTTAAAATAATCTATATGTAGAAGACAGAACGGACATTGGCATAGTATTTGTTCTTTAAATTGATGATTGAAAAAAAATTAATGCTTTGTGCGAAAACTCTTCCAGCCATTCTTCCATACTATATGTCCAATCATTTAGTTACGTAGAGATGCCAAATTCTGCATGCATTGATAATACAATCCCGCAGCCATTCCTGCATACTACCTATTTGCAAATTTGCAGCAGAGGGATACAAGATTCACACACCGGCGGCAAGTCAATTCTCTTAAAGCACCCACAAAAAACCATTCATCCAACATAGTCTTGTAGAAGGTAGACAGGAAGTGGAAGATATATATATCTGTACTGTGTAATCTAGCTATCATTAATTCCTATACATTTTATCTTTTTATTTTGCTTTTATTTTGCAAAGATTTTGCTGGTTATCCGAAAATAGGGAAGAACCAAGTTGCAGTGCCGTTGGAGCGAAATTCATATTGGAGGGGGGGGGAGAGGCTGTTCATTGTATTGCTTTCCATTCAGTCCATTGGTATAAAGGAATTATACTACAGTTTGACAATTATTGGGAGGGGTACTCCAGCACGCTTCCGATTGCCCTGAAGTTGTGAATATCAGGTATTTGTATTTTTGGCATTTGTTGCCAACTACCAAATGTGAGCCAATTGAGCCCCCCCCCCCGGGTTAAGGATTGGTCATAGCAGGGACGTGAATCCCAGACCCTTGCATTTATATTCCGCAACCCGATTCGCTGAGCAATTCGTGCACCACAGAGTACAAGAGGCAAGTACATCAGAAAATGAGCAACAATTCTTCGATGTGATCATTTATGCTGTTTGCTCGGGAAACATAAGATATACAGACTACATTACCTTTTAATATTTCATAAGGAGGGAAACATACTATGAAAAAATAGAACGAAAAGAGAGGTCTGAACAAAGGAAATATCCTGGAGTTGATAAAAATAACTTTGACAAATAAGTAAACGATACAAATGTAAAGTTTTCGTTGAGCACAGGGGTTGCAAACTTAAATCGGTGCACTACACAACAAGACATTTGAAACACGGAGGGGTTTAAAAGGAGAAGGCAATTGAATGTGATCTGAGGGCACCTTAATCAGCTCCATTCTCAAATGAGGAGTTAACCGCACACGCCAATCGTTACTACCAATTATACTGCTTGCTATACTATTTATTTAATAACTGATCATACTTCTGAACATAATACAAATCAATGATTATTATGAAGAAACTTTGCACGAAAATGGTCTTCTTTAAAATTTCAAAAAAGGATATTTTCATGGGGCCTGTCTTTAACTGAAAGGACGATTCCGCAAGTTTTCTAAAAAGTTAGCGAGTATGTATTCTCAGGACAACCATTGTACTCGGCGGCCCCATCTGTCTATATCCCTGTTTAATGATACAGAATGTTACTGGAACTAGTGTTTCCTACTAACAGATGTTGGATGACTGTATTGAATCATTTTCAGGACTATTTGAGAGCTTCATCATTAGAAATCTTTATACGTTCTATAGGCCATTTTATAGCAACGAAGAAGCACAATGAACAAGGAAGACCATCTTTTTCTGCTATGGCAGTTAACAACGCTAGTTTTAACTGTCTATAGGAAGCAAAGGCAGTGCGAGGCTATAAATATTACATTCGTGACGTCATTTTCCCAAAACTTAATCTACAAGTACCATTCTTGCAATAGGAGCTGTTTAAAGTATTTCAAGAGTACACAAGGGAATGGTTTAAGATAGTCCTCATTGAAATGAATATTTTTCTACCTACATTTTATAAGGATAGCAAGAAAACTGTTAACTAACTTGAAGGTTTTCTGTCACATAGGATAAATAATCACGAAACATCACGAGTCAAAGTCAAATGAATTCATTATTTCTTCGTCATTAAATAATCAAGGCTTTTTATTCTGAATGCCTAAATAAAAGTCCTGACAACTTGCATTAACGAACGATATTTTGGTTAAGTATTTAAATAAAAGAACACCTTTGATCACATTGTTCTTCCCAGCAAACACCATGAGTGTCCTTTGCCGACATAATTAAATTCAATGAACGACACAGTAACGATTCCCAAACCAGGATTTCGCTACTTAAATCCATTTCAGTGCGAATATATGACTGCGAGCGCAGGCCTACTTTCGCTTCTTCCGTGCGGCCTTTTGACTGCCGCCCACCATCCGCCCTTCCTGCGCTGCCTTTGAAGCTTCAACTGCAGCTACTTGTTGCTTCTCTTTTGCTAGAACCAAAGAAAACGGTTATTCAGATTCAAGAAGGACCGACGCCTTGTAGGCTGGCATTCGAATTTTATGGGGTCATGTCCTTAATTTTCAGTCGCTTTTTGAATAGGGAAAATGAAAAACTATCAAGGTCCTTGTAAAAATTGACCGAGCACACATTCTTTGTGGAGTTACCAAACATTACATTTCAAGGGAAATGAGACAAATAATTTCCAGTAAATAGCATTGCAAGACCCGTCACCCGTGATTCTCGATATGTTAATTTATTTTCGTATAAAGATAATAGCATCGAAACCAAAACATCAGTTAAAAATTCATGCGATACCTAGTTTTTCTTCCTCTTTCTTCTTAGCAGCCTCTTCGCGCTGTTTCCTGATGATCGCTAATCGTGCCAAATCCGCCCTCGCTTCGTCTGTTTTCCCTTCTGCTTGCAGCTTTTGGTACCTCAGCTTTGCCTGCTCCTTTTCAATTGCTTCCCTGAAACGTGCAATATGCTAATATAAAAATACGTATGAATTATAGCATCAATGTAAAAAATCTAATGGATTCAATTCAGACTTAATTTTCTTTCTTGTTTTGTCAAAAAGACATCATCATAGCCATAGTTTGTTCAAAGTTTGAGGATGGAATTCCAGATTCAACGAACTGTTGTGCTATTCAGTTCTTTTTCAATTTTTCTCCTTCTTTTACGTTTTACTTGATCCTTTCTTCCCCCATCTTCTAATTCTCCCTCTAAATAACTGTTTGTATTCTTGTTATTTCAACAAATGGTTAATCAAAGACGGATATTCAATCCTCAAACAACCTTGAGATACAAAGGCGTATACTTTCAGCATAGGCCGAGAACGCAAAATATTCCGCAAAAATGCAGAATAAAGCTAAACTCAAACTATACAGACTTACTCACGGTTTTATTGTATATTCTGTAATACTGAAAATATTTTAATATTATTCACGGAAGATATCACCAATCAAAGTTAAAAGGCATTTACCTTTCCCTGCGTGTAAGTTCTGGTTTCGCTTCCACATCAAGTGCATCAACTTTCTGGGCTTTTTGGGCTGCACGATTTGGATTTTCAATATCAATCAGACTGCTAACTGGGTCTGGCTTTTGAACTTCCTGTATGAAGAAATAATTGTTTGTTCATCAAGCTGTTTTTCGTGAGAATTCACTTATTGTGGTTTCGTGGGAATTCATTAATATCAAAGAAACATGTCATAAAAAGGGAAAACGGGTTGATGACGTTTGGTTGTCGTTTATTTCTTTCAATTTTTATACTTTTTAAAGATTTTGGAATTTGGAGATTACAAAGAAAATGTACATGGGTATAGCATCAAGTTCTACTTCATGAAAACTTTGAGGCCAGCTTTTTTAATTGCATTTCTGTAACTGGCATTGTTTAATTGTTGTTTTGCAGACAAATAAGGGCAAACTTGCTCTTTGTGATACGTTATATGCCTGAAAATAATGGATAGATCATCACAAGTAATGGTTGCTTGGCAAACAAAGCTTTTGCTTTCATGTACACAGATAGCATGAAAATCGATAAGAGCTATCAACTTTCGATTAGATTCTAAAGTCTGTGTTGGAAGGTTTTACTGATTTTCAATGCAAAAGCAGTAATCTATTAACTGTTATAATATGCAAAGAAAAGCCTAGACATCATTGATAATTAATGAAATATTAAAATATTAAATACCTCATCACTATCTTCTTCATCTTCACCATCTGCTGCATTTTTGCCTTCTTCAGTCTCATCTTCATCCTCATCTTCTTCTCGCTTTTTCTGAAATAGATAATTATTGATTGTCACTAAACGTTCATTTACCTAGACATTGTTTACTTATTTAAAATTTTTTTTACCATAAGTCAATGAATAAGCCCCCAAGTGCTTATTTCGCAAAAAAATATTAATATAAATATAAGCTTATTCAAATGTGGGGTCTTATTTAGCAGCATCAAAAGATTTTACTAAGAGTAAATATTCTTTGTTTATTTGAGGCAGGTCAGTATGCTTTAAAAGGCAGATAGGCAGTGTAAAGTTGGTTATTTTTCTCACAGGATCAGCTCACTTAAAATAGGGGGAAAAGTGTACTGTTTGATATTATGCTTAACATAGAAAAAAGAACATAACTTTTTCAGAAGGAACTTTGATGCAAATAAAAGTTTTACTTCAATGCACACTTTACCCTCCAATTTTTAACATCTTTGGCTTGCCTTGCTAATTCATCTTCTGAAGTAAAATGGCGAGATCTGCCCTTGTATGATTTGCCTCTTCCTTTAACAATATAGACACAGGTTAAGATAAATATTAATGTACAATCATAGCGCATTCCATGACTGATATCACAAGAAGGGTAGCTCAAGAGGATAGTTTCATATATAACTCAAAAGATAAAATGAGCCCAAATGCATACATTGGAAAATAAAATGCTACAACCGTAAGGCTTACAAATAATAGTCCAGACTTTTTTTCTATGATTTTAATTTAAACAAGGAAAGTCAATACTTTTGTAGAGACTAGCATTTAGTCTCAACCTGGACATAATCAACAAATATAGTCCAAAAGCGATGTGGCAAAAATGTAATCATAGATCAAGGGAAAATCATAACATGGCCTGATGTTGGTCAAGTCTGGCTCAGATTAAACAATCAACAGACTGGAAATTTTTCTCCATGCCCACCAGATATTCAAGTTAGAAGTAGCTCATGGGAATGGGCCACAATCCTTGTGAATTCTTTTTTCTCAGTGGTTGCTCCAGGAATGATAACAAACATACATAGCCATCACATTTCCATATAAGCCTTGCTGCTGATAATTAGAAATCAACAATGCTAAAAAGGTCCATAGATGTTAATTTTACTTTGAGGTACTGTGGTACAGGCCTGGCAGTGAGCATTTTAGCAGGCATGTGGTACATCGCTCTCTTCGGTAAAGTCAGGCGGGCGCTTTTTAGTCTCTTGAAAATCGTCAATAAAAGTATATGAATAATAACATTCTTTAACAGCTGAGTTTACAAAACAAGATGGTGATTCCCCGACAAAAATAAAATGATAGTTTCATATAATCGCAAATCAACAACATTCCAAATTTGTTCAATTGATGTAGGCTTCAACAGCCGCCTTTGCACTGCCTTTGCAAGCAGGTTCAAGAGAATAGAAGCTTTATGTTTAGCGCAAAGTTTGCACCAAACAAACATCGCCATCCTCTTTCCATCTATCTCCTCAATTATTCTTCCAAAAATAGCCCTGTTGTCGTATTTTTTGAAAGTTCTTAGCTCAACAGTCGATCCTTTCTGGTTACTCGCCACATTGAAATGATTTGGGTTTCATGTGTTAGGAATACTCAATTGGCCTTCGAAATAGCATTCTGGTTGAAATAAAAACATTCAAAGGATTTTCTTTCCTATTGCATTTAAAAATGTTTCATTTGTTTTTTGTGTGACTTGTTAAGTAGTTAACGAGTTTACAGGAGTAGATGACTTCCTGAGAGATTAAGACATAGGGGATCAAGTTCCTATCAATACTTTAGTTTTACTTCAAGAGGTGTCGAGAAATGAACGGAAGACCAAGGCGGGTGGTTAATGTGCGAACTGACCTTGAGGCGAGCGATGAATAGCTCGCCTCACTTACCCAAGGCGAGTGTGGAAGCACGCGCGGGCGATCACCTACTTCAAATGCCCAGGTCTGGTGGTAGCAATATCAAACCATAATAAACTGTTACAATGATGCATGTTATGTCCATCAAAAAGGACATGCAGTACATTTTTGACAGGTGCTTGCAAAGTACCATGAATATTTAAAATAAATTATCACAGTGTTGCAGAGATGTGAATAACCAGGTTGAAAAGTTTGCATTTGAAGATCCAGATGCACATTGGCAATATTTTGCATTTTAAGGAACAAAAAAAAGAGGCTGGGATTAGAAAAGTATTCAGTTTGGTATACCAAATTGGTATTAGCCTCTGAAATTAAAACATGAGAAGGCCCCACTCAAGGTTTTGATTGAAACTATCTAACAGTGGTGGAGCTCATATGTTTTGATTTAGGGAGGTTAGAAAAAAGATATTTTTGAATATGATGGTTTAGAATAGCTTTTGGCAATACCATATCTTACAAAATCATTTGAAGGCACTTCCCCTCCCCAGCATAACATACAGAATCAAAGTTTCATGCAAAGCAACTTTTACAACACTCGGTGTCTAAATTTTCTCAATTTTTTTCTATCCAAATAGATGGCTAGCAAAAGGACAGCTACATTTTGCAAATTCACAAGTTAATTTTTCTTCTATAAGCTGAGGCTCTGTCCACCATCTCTTCCACTGACAGGGGCCCTCATGGTATTAGAAATTAAAAACTGCTGTTACTGCTGTTCACCCATTCTTCTATCATAGCTCAACAAAAGAATTTATGTCATGCAGACCACAAAAGACAAATGAATTTCAGGGCAGTGATATTAGTTTTTGGAAGTTAATACCATGGCCAGGGCTGTTAATTATGGCATGGATTAAACAATCACACTTTTCAAAGATTTCAATGAGGATAAGGAAAACTTTCATTCAACCAAGAGAAAAGCAAGTATAGCTTGGCTATATGAATAGAGCTGGTTGCATCAATAAAATTGTTGCGAAAAAGTGGCAGCATACAAAAAGCAAAAGAAATTTGTTGCCAACTTAGAGAACCAAAGTCCCATTTCTTTGAAAATAAAATGGTATCACACAAATACCTATAATACCACATCAAGCGGCCCCTGGCACAGGGTAAATTTGGGGTTTGTGAAATTTATCAACTAGTGAGGAATTCAAGTTAGATAAGAACGTTTATCAAGAAGAAAAAGAAGTTTGTCTAGCATAGTTGACTTGAGATTCCTCGAAGGTGCATTAAACTTATAAACAGGCATCTATATTTTTTCTTACACTGCAAACTTTACAACTTAGGTGCATAAATAATTGAGACCTTCGGATTTTTATATCTACAAGAAACTGGTTTATACAAAATTAGTACTAGGATGCTAAAAAATTTTAGCACTAGGCTCAGAAAAATCAAGAAACTGTAAAGTTTTTATGTTGTTGATTTTCTCTCAAGTTATACTTAAATTAACAGGCTATCGAGTTATACAGGAATTAAACAATATTGCATTAATGTTTCTCTTACAAATGATTCTATTCAAGCTTCTACTCTCGGCTATATCTAAAAGAATTGGATGAATGAATAAGTGAAATTTGAATGGTTATCAACCATCATATAGATAGTGATTGATTCATTGATTGATTTCCAACAAAGGTGCACCTTCTAAGAAAACCAAATATTGAAATAAATAGATAAATTTATTTTTATTTACCTCTTGGCATAATTGAACTTGTTTTTGTCCTGATCTAAGGAGCCTTCTCACCAAAAGCTGTCTAATAAAATGTGTACTTTTGGTCTTTAGGCCAGCGAGTGTTGCATCAGTGACACTAGCCTCTCTTTCATCTCCAAAATGAGACTAAATCATAATGCCAGCTTTCTACTCACTTGATAGCAGAACAGAGAATACACAAATACACTATAGCGTGTTTGCACGAAGACGGGATGTTTTTTTAAAAAGTTAAGAAGCCTGCCAAAGTGTTTGGGCGAAGGTGAAGGATCCGGTTCGGATAATCCGATTAACCTCGTGTCATACACGTCAAGGAGTTTTTTTGACTACATCAACGAATCACAGGTCGCCTAGGGTCAGGGAACGCTCTCCTAGAAATATGACATCAAACAAAACATGGTAGCTCTCCGGATTGTTCATGTCCGCCGTGTTTTTGTATGTATAAAATAGGAGCTGCAATAATCCGTCATGTCAACGATGGAAGAGCTTGTTGCGAGCGTGAAAGACATCAAATTCGATATTGAGACGTACATAGAACATCAAGTCGGAATTCAGCCTTTACCATTTCCTGGAATGGATAGTAAGTCTATTTATCTTCTAGGATGATGCCTTTTAATTCAGTTCATATTTAAAATCGATCAAATTTTGAATAAGATCAGTAATTGTATATGAAAATTTCATTCCCTTTCATTGCAAATTTTCAGCAAATGTGTGTAATGAAGTTTCCTCTCCTTTTAGAGTCTGGATCTGCCGTGTGTGATTTCTTTTTTCAAGGTTCCTGTACAAGAGGGCATCTTTGTCCTTTCAGGCATACAATTGGAGAGAAAGCAGTGGTCTGTAAGCATTGGCTAAGGGGGCTTTGCAAAAAGGGAGATGAGTGCGAGTTCCTTCATGAGTATGATATGTCAAAAATGCCTGAATGCTACTTCTTTGCTAGATTTGGTGAGTGCATATGAAAAGTGCTTAGGCTAGAAACTTTGTGAAATGTCCACAGAAAATTCAACGCATCAATTTTTGTGCACTTGGGCACTAACTAGTAAAATTTAGGAGTACTTCTAAACTGTCCTTATACTTTAAGATATCAATATGAATTGAGGAAGGCAAATTTTGTTCCTATTGACCTTCTGCCAGACAATTTTAATAATCAACCAACAATATAGCTGACCAGCTGACAATTTAACTGACCAATTTGTGAAAACTCTTTCAATCTAAACGCATCTAAACCCTTTCAATTACATCCCTGAGCAGATGAGAGAAGGGCCATAATTTCAGTTAGAGTGTCAAATACCTGTTTGCTCTATATGATGGCAGTATCCTTTAAAAGTAAATAAACACCATGGGAAGAAAGCAATTTTCTGCCTAGGATTTGCATGGTCTCCAAAATGGTTTAGGAATTTATTATGCCCCTTCAAATCTGGGAGAGCCTAGAGTCACAAAAATAAGCACTTCATTTCAAAGACTTGATCACAAGAATCATCACTTTCCTTTGTAGGAACTTGTAACAATAAAGAGTGTCCTTTTCTTCATGTTGACCCAATGACAAAGAGAAAAGAATGTCCTTGGTATGATAGAGGCTTCTGTAAACATGGTATGTTTGGTATTTTGATAAGTTCTTCCTTTTGTGCCAGGAAAACTAAAATTTGCATACGGATGTAGGTTTTGGTGTGAAGAACGGCTATGCCGCAAGTTTTGACACTGAATGATGCTTAATGCAAATCCTCAGGCAACTATTAAACTTATCTTCCTGCAGATATTGGTGCCTAGTATGTCCAGGAATTTCAATTGCCTCAATATGTGTTGCGTGAGGATAATTTTTTCTTGAGTTTTGGTTGTTAGAGAACAGCCATTTTTTGTCAATGGTAGAAAGGAACAACTCAAAACAACTAGAATTCATTCAACATAAGTGAATATGGTTTTAAAATGAAATTGTAAAAGCAATTTTTTGTTACATTTGCTCTCATGAAGTTCTGCTTGTTAGGGAAAAATACTTGTTAACTGTATGATTAAGTTAATGTATATAATTTATGTCATTAATCCATAATTTTTGACATTTGATAATGTGTCAAACCAGGCTTGCATGTGTTATGGATTAAGGTTAAGGATTGCCTATAAGTTTTTTTTATCAAATTTTGTCAATTTTTTTATTAGACCTCTTTATGTCTGTATTCTATTATCCACCATAAAGTTAAATAGATTTTTATTAACATGAACTAGAGATATTCAAGAGACTAGATTAAAAGTGTGAATATCTTAATATGATTTGTATGTACACAAAATTGGAATCTGAATCTTAACAACATGCCTTGGAAAAGTACCCAATCACACAATCAATGCAGTAAATTTTTTTGAACTGAAATTCTGACTAGGAAATATTTTCTGACCAGGTATTTTTTCCATTGGATAAGGATTGAGGTTTAAAGTAGATATTGTGATACAGAGGTGAATATTAATTTATGAAGTGAAACAATTTTATAGCATCGGGTCCTTATTCAACCAACAAACTGCAGACCCTCTTATTTCATGCAAAAAAATGTTCAGTATATTATATGTTCATAAAATAATTGTTCTGCTTTATTAAAAAAGAGACCTAAAATGTTTCAGATATTGTTCTTCTAGTAAACTCATTATTCTTTGTACAAGCACCAAGGCAGGGAAAATAATGTTTTATGAAATTACACATATTTTTCTTTCTTTAATATTGTATCACAATTTCTCATATCTTTTGGTGGTAAATGGCTTTGAAAAAAGCAAACATTTAGTAAACTAAAGCTTTTCGTCTGACACTCTTCAGAGTTTAAAACGTCAGAACATAGATCGAAAACTTTCGAAAAATCAAAAGTTTTTTATCTATGTTTGACGTTTTAAACTCTGAAGAGTGTCAGACGAAAAGCTTTAGTTTACTAAATGTTTGCTTTTTTCAAAGCCATTTACAAATTTCTCATATCTAAAAATCCCAAATACACTCTCTTGGATCCATTGTTGCTAAAGTAAGTTAATAGGATCATTAAGTCTCATTTCTTTAAGCTCTTGTGGCTAGGTCCATCTTGAATAACTACAGATAACTGCCTTAATTGTCTCAAGCACTCAGGCCTGATGACTGAAAATGCCTGACAACTTTGTTAATAAAGAATATGTTTTCCAGGTCCACATTGCAAAAACAAGCATGTGAGAAGAGTTATGTGTCTGAATTACTTGTGTGGATTTTGTCCTGAAGGACCCAACTGTAAACATATGCAGTAAGTAAGCTTTTTAAAGTTTTTTTTCAAAGCAAAGTGTATTCTTTATCCTATTCAACTTTATTACCTTATTTACCAATTTACCTTGAGAAAGCGTTAACTGATTTTCTTACCTCTAAAAAGCTATAAAATAAAATTTCCAATGAGATATCCTTTTATTTCTATTGCTCTCTGTGTATCCTATTGTTTCCAGTGAACTCTTTCTTTCTGCCAATCAGTAGTTTCTGAATAATTATTCCTTTGATGTCTACTTAATATTGATAATTCAATATTATACTGGAAAGCTTACTCCCATATTTAGACATTAAAATTATCTAGACATTTTCACAAGTTTCTAAAATTTTGTGTTTCTTTCAGTCCAAGGTTCGATTTGCCACTTTATGAAAACAAAACAGTTCCAGGGCAAATTATTTGTCATGCTTGTGGAGAACCAGGTCACAAAATAACCACATGTCCAGTCGTTCAACAGTTCAGAGAGAAACAAATGGTAATTTTATTATTTACAAGCATTTGAATACATCAATTTTCAAGCTTTCAAAGTCACAGTATAAAAATATGTTGATATATTTTCCTCATAATTTGCTTGACAGTGGTTTTTTTCTTTTTTCCCTGGAAATCTTTTATGGGGCTTGAGAAACTTTAAAGTGTCTCCTTTTATTTGCTTAGTGTTTGATTTTTCTTACCATTTTTGTCACTTGTAGAACTGGTTTGTAATAACATTTTATTTGATAATTGCTTATTTCAACATTAAATTTTGATTTCTATTTTCTTTCAGTATTTTATTCATCTTTTTAAACTATTTTTTGTACAATTTTAATCTTATCTAAGTTAATAATAGTATTTATTTTCTATCATATTTAGTAAGAGTTTCTTTTTCTTTAGGCTGGTGGTATTCAAATGCAACAACTCCCTAGGAGGCCATTAGAATTAGTAACCTGCTTTAAGGTATCAATATTGATGTTGTCTTTTGCTGCCTGCCTTTTTCTCCATTGAATCTAGTTTTTACAAAATTTTCAATGCATTTCACAGACACATACAGGTTGGGGTCAGCAGTTGTAATCTAAGTTTATTTAGGTTTCTTTCAACTCCTGGTGCAAAAGCTAGCTACTTTTATACCATGCATGGCCAAAGCTACAATGGGTGCTTAGGGCATGAAACACTGGCATCTGAATAGCCTGCCTCAGCAGATTCTCTGCAGGTTAAGAATTAATAAAGGAAAAATTAGTGCTATGAATTAATGCAAATTGATGCCTAATCAGCCTCGCCTTCACATGATGCTGTATCATGCCTCACAAGGTATCAAATTGCCTCCAAACATCCAGCACATGTTAATATATCACAGTGAGTGCTCCTTCTTTACATGACATAAGCAAAAGAGCAAAGATAAAGCTGAGGTGACACTGTAGCTGTGATGGTAGATTCTGTTACAATTACTGACATCATATAGTACTTGTGCCTTATGCAAAATCTGAAAAGGATAATTCTCTTGACGCAATCTCAAGCTTCATATTTCTTTTTTGTTGATGGTATTAGTTTCTTGCGAGATTAACTTTACATAGTTTGATTGGCATTAATATATCACTTATTGGCGACACTGCATCAAAGACTCATGACCAAGCTTTTATAGAATGTTTGTAGTGAACTTCAGTTAGTTTGAGTTAAACAATCAACAACAGAAAGATTTTAAAGGGTGTGTTCGCTGGCAAACAAAAGTTTTCAGGGTACTGGGAAAAGAGGTGTATCAGGGAGAATAAAAAAGATAATCTTCACTTTGAGTGAGGTATTGTTACTCATTTTATATCAAGGAGAGTTTTGATTTAATTGGTCTATTTTGTTTCAATTTTAGTGTCGTCAGCGTGGCCACTATGCGAACAGGGTAATTCCATTTTGTATATTTTGTCTTGCTGTTATTCTTCGTTTTAAGCTATGCTACAGAATTAGCCAAAAAAGCCAATTTACTCGTTCAAAACTATCTGCTGGTTTTCTGTCAACCTTTTATTGTTGCAAATATATGTCAAGTCAATGTTTGCTGAAGATCGGAAATATATAGATATGATATTAAATGAAACGACTTAGGAAAGAAATTTTCATTCAGATTTTGCAACTTTGTCATATATTTCGATATCTGGAAAATGATCGAGTTTGACCAACCCTTTGAAAGAGTTTTGACAATAGCATCCACTATAAGTGGGGCTGCTGAACGGGGGGTTGTGGGGCAAAATGCCCCAGGGGGCCTCAGGGTTGATTGCACGATGTTAGGAATGGAATTAATCAATTGTAGCAAAAGTACGCGTAAGAACGTAAGATGTTAAAAAATTTCATGTCAACATATGCAGTTTTATGCCAATGACCATTGGATTGAGAGTAAGATTAATGACATGAAATAAAAACTGTGAATTATGACTCATTACTTCATAAAATTATGTACTAGATTTCTCGCAGTTTTGTCATTTTTGCTAGCTTATTGCAAGCATCAACATCTAGATTGCTGTTTTCCGTTTTGGCACTGGATTTTCCGCCTTCAAGAGACAAATGTGTTCAACGATGTTTAAAATGCTTCATGAATAGGCGCATTACAGGCGTGATTTATGTTTTGTTTTGGGCATTCGGACAGACTTAAATTAGTAAAAAGCACTAGACTTTTATATTTAATTTGCTTTCAGTTATTTAAAGTTTCTCCAGGAACATTAACTTTGAAGTTCGATTCTTTGTTAGCACTACTGTTATTTAATTTTGATTTTTGCTTTATTTCATTTGTAGTGTCCATTTCCAGCAGCAGAACAAAACCCTATGTACCGTCCGAGAATGATTATGCAGCAGCAACAACAGTCCCTTCAAATGCCTGTCCCATCTACATTTAGCGCCATTCAAACTATTCAGACTCTCGGTTGATTGGATGCATGTTTTTCTGCGCTTGGTGAGAGACGAAAACAACCTCTGCATTTTATATGGATGCCTGTGCTCTTGTTATAAGACGTGAAAGCTTCTAAGGGAAAAAAGTTGTATTTCATGGCTATTGCATTGTATAGTGAATCTTGTCTTTAACGATGTAACTAATTAACGTCATAACTTTTAGTATATGACAAAGACTTTGGTTGCATTCAGTTGCTTTCTACGTGTATTTACTTTCTGGAACAACTTTCTGGAGCAGAAGGTTTCTGCTTTGCCTTGAAGGTGCAGTTGTTTGATAGGGTTAGCCTGCGTTAAGCTACTCCTGTCCGTATGGTGGGAAAAGGATGGGGTATCGTAACAGGAATCATCGTGTAGTCACCATTGTCAATCTTTAATCGTGTTCTCTTGTCTATTTCTCCGTATCAATAGGTGCATGATCAATCTCATATCTTAGCGTTCCCTAGTCTTCTGTGTATGCGCCCAGTTGTATTTAGACAGTACATTTCTTATAAAAATTATTCAGAATTATTCTTATAGAAACTTGAGCTTCAAGATAAGTCAAAAGTTACAAATTAAGAACAAGCTGAGGCTGAGGTAAAACCCCGAAAAAAAATAGAAAATCTCATCCATCCAAATAGGGCCTGAAGACTCCCTTTGAGCACAAGATCTAGCGATTGCACTGCTTAAACCCTCATTTTTTAGAAGCAATTGAGACAGGGGAGTAGTGCTAGGGAGCTCAGGGGGCAATTTTCTACTTTTGCTATGTGCAAAAGCCCTCGTTGTTATTTTGATAGCAGTACACCACTGAATTGAAATATCACCCTACCTCAATATTTTGGAAAATTTAAGCTGCAATCTGCAATTCCTATCAATTTTTAGAAGAATTATGACGACCATATTTTGACAAAGGTTGGGGTAATTAGGGTAGGGGCGCCGCTCTTTGCTTCCAAAACGACAATATGGTGTCATCTGCATCGACTTCTGATTGTTCTTCCAATGCCTGCTGTCTCCATTCAAGATCCGCTGCTTGGATATCTGCAATATTTTCTATATATGGCATAGCGCGATAAACCTCCAGCAAAGATGGTGGACTGCACTTAGTAGCATTGATTGGCAGCAGGATCTCAGACTGGGTCGTTTATATGGAATCGTGCTTTGATGTGTTTCACAAGCTCAATCATGAAACCAAGACATGCCCTTTCCACTTTGATGGCTGCTCACTTCTCAGGTGATGGAGCATTGATTCAGCTGTTTGGAACATTTTGTTGAAACAATTCAGCCGATGAAGTTGACCATTCAGGAACTCCAGTTGTGCCTTAACAAACTTATTGCGCAGTACCAGAAGCGCTTGTGTATGATAGGTCTTTTCTTTACCTTCAGAAACGTTATTTGTAAAATAAAGCTGCATTTCCAGCCATTGCTCCATCACTCTATTCACACAGCTTTCCAAAGACAGCCATTTTGTTTGACCAAAGCTGAGCATCTTATGCGGTTGGGTTTCTGCAAACTCCTGGAAATACTTTAACTCTTTCTCTGTCGAAGAGTTGATCTGCTAAAATGTGCGTAGATATTTCTGCACAAATCTTCAAGAGAGGTTGATAATTTTAAACAAGCATATGAAGCACAAAGATGAATCACATGGCAGCTACACTTAACTATGCTAACATCTGGTAAACTACTCTTCAGCAAGGTCGATTTACTATGTTTTTGACCATCGATTTACACTCTCTTTTTTTACAAGAACCAGTAAATTTAAGTTCAGGCTGACTGTTCTTAATTTTTTCGAAAATCTGAGGTTGGATTGTTCTTAATTTGCTCTTAAATTAAGAGGGTGTAAGCAGTGCTATTGCTAGCTTTTTCGCTCTAAGGAGGTGTTCAGGCCTCATTTGCCAACAAAGTGAATGAGACAGCCTTAATTTGCTGAAAATTTGAATATTCACCGAAAAAGCACCCACACATCGCTAAAAATCCTTAATTTTGAGAAAAAACGTTGTTCTTAACTTTTGACCAGTTTTGAGGCTCGTGTTCTTATAAAATTGTTCTTATAAAAAAAAGTGTGCCATGTCTTAAATGTGCTCCTGTCGATCTGCTCTTTTATACAGGCAGAAAGATCGACTTGATTCTTGGCACACACGCAAGCTTTCTTGCGTTTAGTAGACTCACTGTGGCGTTGCAATGCTGTTTTACTGTACGAAATAGCTTTAGCACAAAACTTTCAGCAAGGATAATTCTTGCCAGCCTTAGGAGCAACAAGCCACTGTTTGAATGCTGGATCTGACACACATTCAGAACGGAATTTTTGATCATATTTTTTCTTTTTGGCAAACGTAGCTGAAGCTTATTCCATATCAGATTCGTAGATGTAAAATATTGTCTGATTTTTACAAAATTTGACCCGAAATGATGCTAAAATGTTACTATTCCGGAAGCTGCCTTTATTTTAAAACCCGGTCATGTTCAGTGATATTGAGATCATCTGGCCAGGGACAGTGGCGTACCCAGGACCGGAGTAGTGAGGGGGTCTGGGGCAAAGTCCCCAGAAAATTTGTTGGACCACGCCCTTCAAACACTCGCAAATGCGGGGAAGCGCCCTTTTTGCAAAATTTTCCGCCATTAATTAATTCATGTTAACTACAGTAATTAGCAAAGTATTTTACAATTGTTATTGACACAAACATACAGTAAACCTACACCCCCCCCCCCCAATGAGTTTTACATCGTTTTTGGACAAATCTCGAGGATCATATTTTAGAAAAGTGGGGGGTACGCCACTGGCCAGGGCCTTTCAACAGCGTTTCCTTTCCATCCATGATCCGGAAAAATCTGCCCAAAATACTTATTTACAAGTGGCAAAGACTTTTGTCTTAGATTAATGATTCAATTTGACATTTATTTGTATGACCACCGTTGTCAGGGAGCATTTTTTAACTATATATTTTACAAAAAGGCTGGTTGTCAAAAATCTAAGGATTTTTTCCAGAATCTAAAGAAATTTTCGTGCGGTTTTAAGGAAATTTACATGAAGCAAAGGGAGAACACTGCACTGCACTGTCACTGACATCATATGACTCACTTTCACTGAACGGCAAGACGAAAAATGGCAAGAAAAGTTGGAAGCTGGACAGTTCATCACGTTAGCACTTTCTTGTTGACTTTCTTCGGCTATGCATTTTTCCATGCCTGCCGAAAAGCATTCAGCAATGTTAAAGATCCACTTCAAAAGGAGCTGACGCCATCGGCGAAAGTCACTTGCCCATGGCCACATTCAAACTCTTCTGTTTGTGTCCTAAAACCTTATGACACTTGGAACTCGAGACACGTCTTCAAATCAACGAACGAAGCAAACTTATTCCTTGGAACACTGGACACGATTTTTTGTTTTCATATGCTGTTGGACTGTATGTTAGCGGGATGATTGGAGATAGGGTCAATCTAAGGCTGGTATTGACATTTGGAATGTGCATGTCTGCTGTTGTGTTTTTCATCTTTGGTTTTATTAGCGAGCACTTTGGCATTTACAATAAATATTTCTATGGTGTTTTCTTCATGTTAAATGGCTTGTTGCAGTCTACGGGATGGCCTGCGACTGTTGCTGTGATGGGAAATTGGTTCAGTAAATCAACAAGAGGGTCAGTGTTTGGGTTTTGGAGTGCCAATGCTTCAGTTGGAAATATTATTGGCTCTTTAATGGTAGCTTCGGTTCTCAACTATGGATATGAATATGGAATATTGATTACCTCGTTTCTATTGTTTTGTGGTGGTATTCTAATTTTCCTTTGCCTAATTCCGAAACCCCAAGATATTGGATTGGAGCCTACTAGAGAGTTGGATGATTATGTGGCATCTTCTCCAGTTAATAATGAACCTGAAGAGAAAGAACCTTTGTTGCAAGATACATCATTGCAGCAACCTGGAGACCCACAGATTGAAGTTAACAGCAAAGCTCTTGGGTTTTTCCAATCATTGATGCTTCCTGGTGTCATACCTTACTCACTCTCGTATGCTTGTTTGAAGCTGGTTAATTATTCATTCTTTTTCTGGCTCCCAGTTTACCTGTCTCAAGGTTTGCACTGGAAAGACAAAAAAAGTGATGAACTGTCAAATTTCTATGACATCGGTGGTATAGTTGGTGGTATTATTGCTGGAGTTGCCAGTGATCTTATTGGACTTCGTTCCCCAGTTGTTTGCTCAATGCTTGTCCTCTCAATGGTATCTTTATTCATATACGGCAACACTGGGTCAAATTATGATACAAATGTTGCCTTTATGACGCTAACAGGACTTATGGTTGGTGGCCCAGCAAATCTTATCAGCTCAGCCATTTCTGCAGACCTTGGAAAGCAGGTTGCTTTAAGAGGCAATGAAGCGGCACTAGCAACTGTTACAGGCATTGTAGATGGGACTGGTAGCGTTGGAGCAGCAATTGGGCAGTATCTTGTTCCACAGATTGATGACTGGTTTGGATGGCATGCTGTGTTCTATTTTCTTATCATAATGACATTTTTTAGTTTTGTTTGCTTAATACCCATGTTGATTAGGGATATAAGAAAAGCAACTTGTTGTCGGAAAATTACTGGCACTGAAATGGAATGTGTTAGCTGAATCGCATTAAAAAATCATTCATATGTATGACCAACAAATTTTCAGGAAATTTTAAAACTCAGTGTAAAATATTGTTGCTTAGCATAAAAGAAATGTTTTGGTCACACAATGATCAAAATTGTAATTGTCGATCTTAATTTAAAATTTTAATAATAGCCATTGTTCATTGCATGATCAAAACACATTAGAACATTGTTTATCATTTTGTTAACCAAGAGTTATGTATGTAGCATTGGAAAGTTTTAAAAACGGTAAGCAGAAGTAGAAATAATGTAGGTTAAGTCAGATACACTGCATCATTTTAAACATTCATGAAACATCACATAACAACAGTAAGATTTTGGATTTTGGACGAGGAGTAGTTTCTAGTAGCAGACACTGCTGCTGATGACTCCTGCTCCTTTCAGCTTATTGATTTTCAAACCCTTTGTGCTTTAGAGCAATTTATTCTAAAAACTGCATTTAAAGATTGAACCTCTTCACATTGTTACAAGAGAATAGATATTCCCTGAAATGACCATAGCTTATAAAACGCTAATGCTGTCAATTTTGATTTAATTGTAAAATAATGTCTTTTTGGGGCTATGTTGAATTATGTAAAAATACACTTGTTTTTCAGTCATAAATACTTATAACCATAATATTCACATCTTCTAAGATGATTAAATGTGATTTAAGTTACATAATTTGAGAAAAATGATGCTTAGATCATCTCATTAAATTTCTGTGTCAGATCAATTTTTACTTCAGGGTATTTGTGATCTTTTCTTTGCCAGAACTTTCTGTAGCATAATCAAGGCTGAAAGATTATTTCTATCAGATTGCAGCCAAGGGGGTGCTCCAAGTTTGTTTACTTGGGAATCTCCATGAAATATATGACAATGATATAACAAGAGACCATTTTTAGCAAATTGATTCTATCTTTGTTTATTTGACTATTTATCAAGTTTTATGCCTGTTAGGCATTACCAACATTTCAGATGTCAAAAGACCATAGTAAAAGGTTAAAGTTCAAAATCGCATGAAAAGATAGCATGCATTCACAAAGCGCTGAAAATATAGAGCATCCGCCCTGGGTACTTATGTTGTTACTTTTCACTTTGCATTTGTTACAAGCATGCTAATTAATTTGCAGATCTCAATAAAAAGGAGGCTCATTTGGCTGATTTTAAGAGACATTACTAGAGACTTGTGCAGCTTAAAATGTTTCCATTAAAAGGCACTACAAGCAATTCCATGAAAGAGGTTTGTTCCATTGACTTTCTAAATTTCCTTGAAGACAAATAAGTTTAAGATTTTACAATGATTGTTGCAGATCAGTAAACTTTTAGGCTACTTTTTTGCATCTTCAGTTGATGAAGGAATTCGCTCCAGAAATCAACCCCTGATACCTGACTGCTAAGGGCGTCTCTTGTATTGAATATTGAATTTGAGCCGAGGTAGTTGTACCCTGGTCCTGTTTGGTGGAAGTTGAATAAATACCCAAAAGCATCGTGGACTGCAGAATGAAATGCCATGGGCCGTTATTGTCAAACAAAAGATTATGTGTAACGTCACTATCACCAGGCCCAGTCCTCCCTGTAAGGAAGAAAAAGTGGTCGTTAGCAAGCAGGTTTCGTGTATTTAGTAATCTATTATGGGAATTTCATCTAGTCGATGAGATTTACTGAATTATGACAAAGATTTGCTAGCTGCTCGAGTGTCAATACTGAAGAAGTTTTGACACGTAACGTTAATCTAGGAATATAATTTTTTACCTAGAATAGAAATTTGTAGCATTTGGCCTTAATTTTGAAAGGGAATCCGGTTTGCATACGTTGGCAAGGTTTGGACTTAGATACAGAAATTTTTTCACAAGCTGTTATTTGCATTTCTTCCCCTTCCCCGCTTGTAGTAACTTTCGTCGGGCGTCCTAGAAATTCAAGGCTGGAGATTTTGTTTGATTGCACATTTAGGTACAACTAGAATTGACTAGGATTTAGAGAAGAGACAGCAGATTTCTTTCTTTAGCTTCATTTATAGTTGGCAAAGCCAAGATGCTGGTGAGATGAAACATTTTAGAATAGGGATGGGAAGCCAAAACGAAGGAAACAAACCAGAAGTTGCTATAATTACACTATTCCGTTAAAAGAAGGGGTGAAATTGCCATTAGGAAAGCATAAGGGAGGCCAAGGCCCACCACGATATCTCGGTCCTGTAATCAAGAAACGGTTATCTGATAGATAGTTGCAGCAAAAAAGAAATAGAATAGAATGATGTGGTACTGCGTTATTTTCAAGAGAGGGCCAACTGAACCTGACTTACCAGCTGTTGGAGATAGGAGGGCGCCAAATATCGGATCCATAGATCCATAACGTGTGTCAATCCAATCCCCAATCATTTTCCCTGCACGTAGTTGTTGCCTAGTTCCCCAGTAGTCACTATGATAGAGCGGATGGGACAGACCTAGAACATTAGCAGCTGCTAAGTATAAATTGAGATAACAAATCTGTGATGTAGCAAAACTACAACGGCTTATATGAAATATAAAGATATAGTATAATTAGGTGCCAAATATTTTGAGTTCAGTCGAGTTTCTAGCCTTAAGAAATGAAGGAGATGGTTAGTAGTAGGGACATCAAAAATTAAAAGGCCATTTTATTGATGCAATATATCTCGAAAGGCAGCGCGTTTCAAAGTCATTGCCATGATCTTTATGACGTAAAATTGCAGTTTCTAAATTAGTAAAATAGGAATAAAATTGTTATTAATATAGATAAAAGCAATAAGGCTTGCAAAATTGCAATATTTTCATTGAAATGCAAACTCTGATTCGGGTTTCTTGCTGTAGAATCTATCAAGCAAAGTCTGTCACCAAAGTCTGTCACCAAAGTCTCCTAGACTTATTAAACTTGTGTAGGCTCAAACGTAAGTGACAGTAATAGCTTTCGAGAAGTAAGAAAAGCTTCTTTTTGTTTTTACTTTGGCGTTTTAACTTTTTCTTTGGGTTTGATTGGGTTTGTGAGAGTATTTCTTCGTATATAGCTTACTGGTTGAGACTCATCGTAAAAGAAAAGTTTGTGGTCAAAATATGACTGATCTGATACTATGAATATTATCATTGCATTGAAGGAGGAAAGGTGAGATAATTTGAAGGTATCAAAAAAAGCAGATCGGCTTTTGCGAAAAATAGCATTCAGTCAGAAGGATGCTACAAAATTCTTTTTGGTTTTAGGACATTGCTGCCCTTTATATAATGTAAGATGTTCCAAGATATACTGCAGCTGTTATTATCAGTTTCTGTGATTTTTATTTTATTACGCTCACAGCCACACATATATTCTGTTTTCAGCAGCATTGTAGGCCACACCCCTAGCAGTTTTTTCTACCCACCACGCTGTCAATTCAAATATATCAACTAACCATCTCTTAATCATTTTCTATGCCAGAAAAAATGGAGATTCCAATTTTTCCTCTTGTTTATGAAAAATTGTTGTGATATATGATTCCTGGCAGCGAGAAAGAGAAAAATAACATACTGCGAGACAGAGGAGGCTTCTTAACGGGACTTGGCATATAGGAATCAAGGGATGCCCTTTGACGAGACGTTTTTGGTCCTATTACCTTCTTTTTCTTAAATTAAGACTGGTTTTTAAATAAGAGCTGATATCTTGAAGCGTGATATATAAATAAATAAGCTTGATTATATTCATTAATTTTACTGATAGTAAACAAAAAAATTCTTGTGTAACTCTAGAAAAAGCAACATCGCTTACCAGTTCCCCTCCTGCAGTAAAACTCCACAAACCGTGTTCTGTCCTGGAAAAGTTTCTTTTTGAACTTACTGAAACTCTGCTTCGGGGGACAGCGTATTCTTGCTACCTCTTCAACTAGAGCAGCAAACCCATATTCATTTCCAGTAAAATTCTCCCCTTGACTTCTAATAAATTGATCCATGGTTAAGAGGACAACACTGAGGTTTCTCTTGCCATATTTTTGTTTATGGTCAGACGAATCGTCAAATATATTGCTCGTCTCCCCCTGAAATCTGGCAAATACCAAGCTTTCTAGATATCTAAACAGCGTCGGGTTGCTCTCTTTGACTGTCGCAACGATGTCAATTGGATCACCTGTAAGGCATCCAAAGCAGGCAAGAAACTTTGCAGTGGCCATGGTACAAAAGAAACAGACAGAAAATACTAACTCTCATAGAAAGCACTGTTTAAGCGCACTTCAGTCGAAAACCGTCCTTGGTAAGCGATGTTTTGATAAAAGAATGAAACTATGGGGTAACAACGAGCACCATTTCAAATGAAGGGTCACTTGACCTAAGATTGCTCAGCTGCAGCTTACGAAAATGTATCGCGATTGCAAAGTGGTAGTTATGACGTAACATGTTTGTGACCGTAGAGATTAGATTGACGACAAAAAGGTAACTAAAAACCATTATCATAATATTCGTTTATGCTCATAATGATATAGTTGATATTACTTTCACTCCATATTTACATTATATTTTATCGGAAATATCAAATTAAAATCTAATCACAACTTCATGAAATAACGATACATAATGTCTTCAACACATGTAGAATTACATAAAAAGCCGCTTTAAATTTATTTTGATAAAATCAAACTTTACTATATACATTATAATACCTGCTTTGTACAAAATGTATAGTTTCATTACAAATTCTAGGAACAGGAAAATTTCTTTTATAATAGTTTCATGGTGGCGATTATCAATGCAATTTCCCCTCTTTCCTTATCTTTCAAATATTTTATTAGTGGAGTATCTATCCTAGAGAGATTGTATTTAGAAGTGTAGTGCAAGGAAAAAGGAACGAGAGCGTGCTCGCAAAAATATTGGCAGCTACTTAATAGAAATGAGCACCTTTTTAATTGCTCCTCTAGAAAAAGGACTCAAAGATCTGAGTCTTTCTTATGCTAACTCCCCTGGCTCTTCATCCCCCATTGTAACGTAGCATTTTTTATGAATTTTCTTTCCCCGTTTTTGCGATATTCAAAACAAACAATCCTGAAGAAACTGTTCTTACAATCAATGCGAATACAAAAATACATTTCTACGAAACTATGCTTATTAATACAACTGTATCAGTTTTGCTGAAAAGCAATAAACTGAAACCATTATAACATAATATTTATGGCAAAGACGCTTGTCTCTTAAATACGTTACCTTAAATAACATGTTTCTGTGTTGCCTCAAATTCATATAATTTCTGTGCAGCTTCTGGTTCCCTGACCATTGTTCATTTAGAAAATGTGTGTTTGCAAACCGTTTTCTTTATGGTGGGCAAGTACTTTTTTCCAGAATCTTATCCCTGCTGCTTGTCCGGATAATGGGTTGCTCTTTTTAAAAAGAGAAGCAGCATCCAGATACTTGTAGCCTGGGCCAGTGTGGTGGAACGTAAACAGATAGCCAAATGCGTCGTGAACAGCGGAATGATATGCAAATGGGCCATTGTTGTCAAACAGTAATTTGTGCAGTACTGTGTCGTCACCAGGACCAGTTCGACCTAAGAATGGAAGTGTATATAATTTAAGAGGGGCAACTACTTATTACAGAGAGGTTAAAGAAGGTTTTGAACCCAAGTCCTTTCATTTTGCAAAATAATTGGAAAGGTTATTATCTTTTAGTAGTAAAAATACAAAGAGAAAATTTTACCTCAAGTTTGTCTAAGGAGCGTAAAAAATTACTATCGATCCATTTATCTTGGTTCCAAATATATGAATTGCAAAACTCACCTCCGGTTGGTGACAGGAGCGCACCAAAAATTGGGTCTAGTGGTCCGTAGCTTTTGTCAATCCAATCCCCGACAGCTTTGCCAAATCTTAATTGCTGTCTTGTTCCCCAGTAGGATTTATGCTTTTTGTGAAGTACATCTGATGGTTCTACAATAAACACACATTTGCTCAAAAGGAATATATTCATCATTTATAATCGTGGAACAGAAAATTTCAGTTTAAGGTTTTAAGGTGTCGCTACCCATGAACAGCTGAATTGCCCGAGGGGGTATACATGTTCTTAAACGGGTTGACCTAAGCCGTTTTGGAATTTTCAGAAGGTGGGCGAGCTTAGTTAGCTCAAGTGACTGAACAAGGAAGTCGGAAGCGGGGAGCCGGTTTGGAGTCGCAGGTCCCGAACAGATTGCCAAGCTTAGTCCTCATTCTTTACAACAGAGTAACGAATGGGTAGCAACTAAATAGATAGCCCCCACCAATTATGAATTTCGTCTTACAGAGCCCTTTTTCATCAATAGAAACCAATAAACCCATCAAGATAACGATTCAAGGTATAATTTTGAACTCGCCATTTCATTGCTCATATCTGCTCTGCTTATATGTTTGCTTACCTGTTGTTTTTCGAAGAAGCTCTACAAACTTTCCTTTATCGTCTAGCATTTTTTGTCTGAATTGCTCCAGGGGAACATCTCTGGGTTTCCGCATCTTTGTGGCTAATTCGAAGTAATCCATGAATTTTCTTTCATTGCCTGTGAACTCCGCACCTCTCTCTCTAATCTCGACGTCCATTGACTGCAAAACCGACCCTAGATTTATTTCATGCTGGTCTTCAGTTACGTCAGATCTGCTATCGACCTGATTGAATAAATAAGTTCGGTTCTAGGATAATGCAGTGAATTATCATTTCATTCTTGAGCTGATAAGTTTGAAATCATAAGTTGTTAGTGAGACTTCCCTTGAAACTATTTTGAGACGCCTCCTTTACGGTTATTTCCAAGAACTTATTTTTCATTAACAACATATAACGTTTGAAAATTTCACCCAAGCGCTTCCAATAATAATTAGCAATTAAGCTGGCTTGACTTGAGGAATGAGCTTTTGAAGAATTTCGACAAATGTGGGGATGATCTTCCAACCATACCCTTTGAGACAATAGTCGGGCACATAGTTGTCGATAGTCAATTGAGACCAAATATCTTTGCAAAGTCTAGGACGCTTCTCCGCCGTGCTCAGGCACCATAATGGCTGTAGCAGAAACGTAATGTTTAAGTGCAATCTTAAAACATTTTCAAATTGCGGGATTTAGGTTCACGCAAAGACTATGATCTTCTATATTACTTCTAATTTTCGTGAAACAAACATGGAACTTGCGTTACCCGATTACTTGTCTCTCCCACAAATTTTCCATCCACAAGCTTCAGGCAATACTCTACAACCTCTGTGTTATGCGGATCCATGAAGTGTTCCAAGGTAGTTCTTTCCTTCTCGAGCCAGCTCAAACAACCTGTTGGCATCTTGAATTCTTTTGAAAGTTGGGTTAATATTTGATTATTATTTCTGCAAGAAAGGGGAATCTTTTAATAGTAATAAATTACCCATTGCAACTTTTAGATACCCCTAAATATAATATTCTTTCAAAATATGCTATTTATTTGAAGTTTGATATAGTTGGACGCCAAGGCTAAAGTTGCATTTTTTTGTGGATGGCTCCTTCAGGCTAAACGTTGTGAATTCCTTGATTTTTAGAATTTGTGATTGATGGTGATTTATCAAAAATAAGGCTTGAATTTTGGCTGATGTAGGTGATAGGAAACAGTGCAGCAAGAAAAATAAAATTTACGAATCAGCATCTACGTGCCAATGTAGAATAGCAGGTACAAGTCGGTGAAATTATGCAAAATACGATCAACTTAAGACTGCTGATGAAGCAGTTCTTCACTGCAAATTTACCAACAACGTGAAATTTGAAGAGATCAAGTAGAAAATTGAAAAAAGATCAAAACAAGTTAGTTCTGGGCATGGCTAGGTTAAGGGAAAGAAAATGCAGTTAACTACCTCTCCTCTTATATCCTGCCAAACCTATTATTAAAATGAAAGAGAATACAACTAGCTTACCTGTCAAAAATCCACTTTTCCAGACGGAGTAGATCGAACCCAGAGAGTTCTTGGCTTTTAACTGAACTCTCCACTCGGTTTCAATTTATAAACAGAACGAAATAGAATTATCGGGTATTTCCCTATTCTTTGGAAGAAAACAGAGCGCGTTTCGCCATTACGTAATCGATAGCAGGAATGCTAAACAACGGAACGGTGTGACCGAGAATCTACAGGAAACTACGATACAGAAGCGTAGCTTGACCTTCTAGATGAGGGGTGGGGGGGGTGGGGATAAAGATTCATCAACAGTAAAATTGACCGACAAAGAGATAGATGAAGAAATATTTAGGTGCTTTCCACCTACCAATAGAGGATCTTACCGAGAAACGACGGATTCTGTAGACCAGCTTAAGATTTACCGACCAACTCATGAAGATTGGGGGTGTCACACCCTGAACGTATGTGTGCAAGTTTCGAAAAAACAACAAAGGCCGCTTTGTAATTCAATGTTTCATACTCATCGGATTACATGCAAGTTGAGCTTTCTGGCTGGGTAGAGAATCAAATCGTGCATTGCTTGCATTCACCCTCACCCAGAAAATGTACAAAAAATATTTTCAATATTAACAAATCTTGTTAGGGTCGTGTCAAACGAAATAATCATAACGAAGGAAAAGAAATGAAAGTAGAGAGAGGCTTTTCTTTTCATGAGGCATTTCGTGTGCGCATTGTGCAAGGTTCCTACCATTGAAAACGGTTTCTATGCCCAACAGTGAAGTGCCAGTCCGCGTTTTACTAAAGATAACCCAGGCTCAAGCAGTTCTAAGAATGCCGAGGGGTTGTGGCTTTTCTGTTTTTTTTCATAGAGATCATGTTTCATTTGGGGGAGCCCTGGCCTACGATTTTCCGACAAGATAACATCTCGGGTCATGTCTTTTTTTAAATTAACTACACATTTTGATAAAAATAGATGATTTTTTGCCGGGACCCTTCAGAAATCTTTGCTGACCACGCCATAATTGAGTAGCAAGAAGAACAATCCATTTATGATTTTTGATATCAAGATCGATCATCTAAGATACAATTGATGATACAAGAGGTCGACCGATCACACTTTTGACAAGTCGTACGTTCATTTTATGCATTTTGTCTTGTTTTCGTTAGTGGGAAATAAGTTTGAAAATAACTTTTATTTCGAAGAATCCGATGGAAATTCGGGCTAATCTTTACGGAATTGAAATTAAATATACAATACACAAGCAGTTTTGATTTTGGTCAGATATTGTTTGATTGATTATTTAGTACTGGCTAATATTTCATCAGCTATGCTATGTTCAAATTTTGCAAAAAGGTCACAGAGAGGTAATACTGGCCCTATGGGGTAAAAAGGGGAAAATGCAGACCACCTGCGAGCTGATAACAGTTGATAACTTTACCCTATGTAATTAGAAATGAAATGAAATGAAATGTGAACATTATTTGATCATTCGAAAAGGCCAGTGATGGGTTTAAATTTTATGTTGCCAAAATTATCAGTCAATGAATTCCGTACCTCCGTACGCCGGGCTCAGTATGAGAAACAGCAGGGTGCCAACCAGCGCAAATCTTTTATGAATATTTCGTCATCTATTAATCCAAAAATAATGCAAGTTTGAGAAAAAAATGAATAGAAAAGTAGATAAATGTTTCACTTTGAGGGAAAACCTTTTGATATATATTTTTCTTTAGGGATTGTATCTAGAGGACTGAATCTCAGAGCCGTCGTGCTAACGCCATCCTTTATTTATCGACAAATTTGATCGACGTTGCTAAAACGAGGAACAAGCGGAACAACCTAGTAACAAGCGGAACAACCCAGTAACAACCCAGGAACAAGCGGAACAACCCAGTAACAACCCAGGAACAAGCAGAACAACCCAGTAACAAGCGGAAATGTGAAGTTATTGTTTTGTAAATAACACATGGGGCGTTTATAAGCCAACTCTCTAAAGTTCGTGTGGGCTAGCACGTGCACTATCAAGAGGCCGTCAAACACTTCCGTTATGTAATTTTTTGCCAGTTCGCGGCCATTTTCCCTCTTTTTCACACAACCGTACATAGTTTGATGGATCAGAAAACCTGTCGTTGTGGTTTTTTACTCGAATCAAACACCGACATAGCAAGACCTAAGAAAAATATTACAAAGATCAATATGATAATAATAAATAAAAAAAAATAAAAAACAAAAATAAAATAATATCGATAAAATGCGGATTTGGATTAAGATAATAAACTTAAAAAAATATAAAAAAATTAAAATAATAATAGAAATATAAATAAAAATAAAAAAAAAAATTAAAATAAAAAATAACAAAAAAAATAAATAAAAAAAAATCAAATTCTAATAAAATAACATAAAAAAAAAACAAAAAAAAAAATAAGATACATAAAAAAACCAAAAATAAAATAAAATTAAAAAAACAATGATAATAAAATAAAAACAAAAATAAAATAAAATAAAAAAAATAAATAAATAAAAAATAAAACAAAACAAAAAATGATAAATAAAATAATAAAACAATAAAATAAAATAATCCAAAAAAAATATAAACACAATAAAAAAACAAATTTGTTTATCACCCCTCATTAGCGCTTTTGTGTCCAGCCATTG